GGTCGGCGGTCACTGTCCAGGCCGCAGGCTGCCACCAGCTCCCTGGGTGGCCCGGGCCGCCGGCAGGTGCACACGCGGACTGCGGGCCTCTGCTGAGCCGTTTCCCCGGCCCTGGGGGCCTGTGCCCACGCCCGGCGGGGACCTACCGGGGCGGGCAAAGGAGCCGAACCCACACGGAGGGCCGGGCTCGGAGGCCGGGGGACGCGTGGCCCGCGCAGAGCAGGTGCAGGGAGGCCGCCGGCCAGGTGAGGCCCCGGAGGCCAGGGCACGGCCCGCACGGCGGCAGCACCAGCGGGGTCACCGAGCCGAGGCAGCCGGCGGCGCCCACGGTTCAGGGCCGGAGCGGGCAGGCCGGGGCCTGGCGGCAGAGCCCGCGGCTGCAGGCCTCGCTGTGGACCCCGGGGAGGTCCACACCAGGGCTCAGCTAAAAGACGCTTCTGGGCGCCGATGCCGATGCAGACGGGGTGGGAGCAGGCCGACGAGGGGTGGCGGCCTCGTCCCCGGGCACTGCGGTGCCGGCCTGGGGGGGGCGAGCGGGTCTGGAAGTCCCGGGGCGCAGCCGGCAGGAGCGGCCACGGCTCAGATGCTGGGCTGACGACGCCTCACAGCTGCCGAGTGGGCTCTGGGGGATCCTCTGCCGCACCCGAGGCAGGCCCCCCGCACACGCAGGAAACCGGCCACGGGAACCACACGCTCCGGGGACTGAGGCCCCTAAGGGACACAGACCCGGGGGAGCCCACGGGATACAGTGGAAGATGTGATGAACGCTTCTCCTTGGATTTTCACAAGGAAGTAAGGAGTTGGGGGACTGGGAGGGATCGTGGTATGAAGTTTAAAAAGAGGGGACTTGGGGCGCCTGGGGGCTCAGCGGTTTGGCGCCTGCTTTGGGCTCAGGGCATGACCTGGGGTCCCGGAATCGAGTCCATCGTCGGGCTCCCTGCAGGGACCTGCTTCTCCCTCTGCCTGTGTCTCTGCCTCTCTCAGGAATAAATAACAGGACTTTTGAGACATGGCCTTAGGCCCTGGAAGGCCACCAGAGGGGGGGTCACACCTGCAAAGCCTCTTTTGCCCTACAAGGCGACACAGGCCCAGGGCCCAGGATGTGCACAGCCCTCACCCCACGGGCTCCCAGGTGGCTCCCAGGTGGCTCCCAGGTGGCTCCCAGGTGCCAGACGGCGGCGGGGGCGGCGGTGGGTCCCCACGTGCTGCGCGTCCACCGGGGAGACCGGACGCAGGGCCGCCCGGAGCCCGGAGCCGTCTGTCCGTCCTCCTCCCGGAGGGCTGCCCTGAGTATCCACCGCGTTCAGACACATTCCGCCTTAGAGTGACAACAAGAAACACAAAACGACGTCTGCTCCCACAGAGGTCACCTTTTTCAGGTTTTTTTAGAGGTTTTATTTTGTGTCAGTGATGGATGGATGGATGGATGGAGGGACGGGGAGCAGGGAGCAGGAAGGCGGAGCGCGGAGCCCACCGGGGAGGGCAGGACCTGGGCCAGAATCAAGCGCAGACGCTTAACCGCGAGCCGCAGGTGCCCCCGCTGCCCCCGCTGCCCCCGCTGACGGCGACCGACAAGCCGGGCTCTGCTCAGCGCCGCTCACGACAAGGGACGAGTGAGGGTGGAGGCGGCTGTGCCGTGTGCTGGCGGGGAGGCCTCTCCGGACCGGACCGGGACGTGACCCGCCAGTGACGAGGGCCCCTCCCCCTCCCCCTCCCCCTCCCCCCCCCCGTGCAGATGCCCAAGGGAGGCCTGGGGGCGCGGCTGTGCTTCCCGCCCGGTCCCTGCCGGTCCCTGCTCCAGGGAAAGTCACTGTCAGAGAGTTCCCGAGCCCGCGGCCGGCAGGTGGGACTTGCTCTTCTCTGAACCGACGGTTCTAGTTTAGACGCCGCCGCCGGTGACCTCGGGGTGCAGCCCCCGCAGGAGCGGCCGAGCGAGCGCAGCCCCGCGTCTCTGGCGTCTCTAGCGTCTCTAGCGCGTCCTAGGCCGGCTCCCCCCTCCCCCTCCTCCCCTCCCCCTCCTCCCCTCCCCCCCCCCCCCCCCCCCCCCGGCCCAGCCTGTTTTCCGCTGCCAGAGCGAGGCGTAGAGTCCGCGGCTTCGCCCCCCCCCCCCGCCCCTCGGCGGGACCCCGCGTGGGACGGTCCTGAGCTGGCCCGGGCGCGCAGAGGCCTCCAGGTTCTCGCTCAGGCGCCCCGTGCTTCGGGGCCTTGGGCCTTAACGCCGTGCGCCGTGGCTGCCGCCGGTCGGGGTCGGGGTCGCGGTCGGGGTCGGGCTGTGGCCGGTGCTCAGGGCATCTGCCCGCCGGCGACCCGCGGCCGCGGCTCCTGGCTCTGCAGGAAGGTGGCCCAGGAGCGGCGCTGACCCGGCGCTGGCCACGGCGGCCGACAGCGGCTCGTGCGCTCGCCCGAGGGCCCGTTGAGAGTCCGTGCGGGCCGGGGCCCTCGCAGGCTGGGGGCTGGAGCGGCCTGCAGGCTCCCCCCGCCCCCCGCCCCCACCCCCACCCCCACCCCCACCCCGGGGGACGCGTCCGAGGAGTCCGCAGGTCGGCACAGGGCGCCGCAGGGGCCCGGCCCCAGGACCCACGTCCCGCCCCGCGCACCCCTGAGGTCCGCGAGCGCGGGGCCGCCAACGGGATCCCCCTCCTGAGCCGTCCTGCCCTTCCCCTGAGTGCCCCCGCCCGCCACAGCCCCCAGGACCGTCCAAGGAGGACGGGGAGCCCGGGGAGCCCGGGGAGCCCGGGGAGCCCGGGTCGCAGGCACAGGAACGAGCCGGACTTGCGGAGCCACCGCAACGGGCTCGCGCACGACTAGTTCCCGGCCGAGGCCCCCGGGACGCGCCGGCGGGGCTGGGGCGGGGGCGCCGCGGGCACAGGGCTGGGCCGAAGCTCCGAGGCGCCCGCTCCTCGACGCCGACGCCGACGCCGACACGGACGGTCTGCGGACACGGCCGGGGCGCCCCTCCCGCGGCCCCGACGTCGCCCCCGCCCCCGCCCCCGCCCCCGCCCCCGCGCCGAGGGCCCCGGAGCCCCAGCGCCTACGCCGACCGCCCCGGCCCCGGGCCGGGCCCCGCCGCCCACCGCGCCCCCAGCCAGGCCCCAAGCAGCGAGACCCCGTCCTGGGCCCTTTGCGAACCCCGCGGAGCCGGGGCGCGGCCTCCCGACCCAGACAGTTCAGCGAATCAAGTCAACGGGGGCGCTCGGGGTCGGTCAGGTCACTGCGGCCGCCTCGCCCGGATGCAGACGCCTGCTCGGTTCCCTCAGCGGCACTAAACGCACCCACGGACCCTCGGACGCTCGGACCCACGGACCCACGGACTCCCGGACCCTTGGACTCTCGGACCCTTGGACCCTCGGACCCTCGGACCCATGGACTCACAGACTCATGGACTCTTGGACGGACTCACGGACCCACGGACTCTTGGACGGACTCACGGACTCTCGGACGGACTCACGGACCCACGGACTCTTGGACGGACTCACGGACTCTCGGACGGACTCACAGACTCTTGAACGGACCCACGGACCCTTGAACTCACGGGCTCTCGGACCCACGGACTCCCGGACGGCCGCAGGCCCTGGGCTCCCCGCGTGTCCCGCGGGCGTCGGGCGCCCCCTGCAGCCCAGCTCCCGCCCCGCAGACGCTCCGGGGGAGCCGCTCCACCTGCAGGGCCCGGACCGCCGGGAGCCGCCTTCCCGGCCGCGCCGCGCCCCCAGGGCGACCTCCCGTCCTGCACAGGCCCTCGCGGGGCACGGGCACGCCTGCCACTGGGAGGCCCTTCACGGCTGCGGCCTCCCGGGGGCCACCGGGGGCTTCTCGTCGGCCTGGCGGGGGCGCGGACACCGGCGGGAGGCGCCGACCCACAGGGGTGCTGGCGGGGTGCGCGGGCGGGGCGGGGGCCTGCGGGGCGGGGCCGGGGGCGGGGCCGGGGCGGGGCCAGGCGCTCGCGCGGAGAGAAAAGCAGAGGCCGGCGTCTAGCCGTCTGGGGTGGGGGTGGGGGGCAGGGGGAGCAGGGGAGGCGGGGGGGGGGCCCGCACGGCCTCTGACCTGCGCCGCACCTGCGGCTCCGCACCGTCACACCCCCCCCCCGTGCACGCGGCGCTTCTGTCCCCCCCGCCCCAGGGAGATCCGCGCCCGGCCACACCGCGAGAGCAGCTCCAGCCCCTGCTCCGGCTGCAGATGCAGGAGGCGGGGGTCCTGGCGCCGGCGGCGGGAGGGCGGGGCCTGCCCCGGCGCGGCCTTGGGTCCGGGACGGAGGGAGGGACGGACGGAGGGAGGGACGGAGGGAGGGACGGACGGAGGGAGGGACGGAGGGACGGGTGGCGCGGGGCCAGTGCGCGCGGAGGGAGGGAAGTGGGGGCTGTGGTCCCTGAGGACAAGGGACGGCGGAGACGGTGGCTCGGCTTGCGGCCAGTGCGGCCGGCGGGCACGTGGCCTCCTCCAGGCGCCCGCTGCGCCCCCTCTGACCCGGCGAAGCCTCGGCTGAAGGCCCAGGTGTGCAGACCCGAGGCCTCCAGGCGGGGTCACAGGCCGCTCGCCTTCCTGCTCGTCCGCCACCTGCGGCCACACCCGGTCGGCGGCCCCTGCCTTCAGGGGTGCGTGGGCCTCAGTGGGGCGACCGTCCGGGGCTGCGGGGACCAGCTGCGACCCTGCCCGAGCCCAGCGGGCGCTTTGGTCCGGCCACACCGCCGACCTGGGTATCCTCCACGGGGAGCACGGGGCAGGCACGTGGAGGGCCACGACTCCACGAGGAGACATGTTTTGGGGTGAGGCCATGTGACCTGAACACTGCAAGGCCTTCGTTCCGGATTCCACGGGATCCTGTCACCGTCTCCGTCCCTGGCGTCCTGCTGCGTGTCTGAAGGAGCAGTTGAGGGGTCTGTGCGCCCGAGACCCGGTGGTCAGCTTAGGGAACACGCAGCGTAGACGCATTAAAACCAAACCGACCACAAAACCCAAACCCCAGGGGTTGTTCGAATCACCCCGATCAAGAAAACACACCGCAGGGCGGCTGAGATCCTTTATTGTCAGACTGTGCTGGAGCCAGCGAACAAGGATTTCTCACGCGATCCCGGAGAGATAAGGCAATTGTTTTTCTTTGTGGGCAGACTTAGTTGGCCTGAGTCTTTACAACTTTTCCATATAAAAATAAAAGTCCAAGACCAGATTATTTTTCTTCTGGTCATAAACGCTGATTTATTTACAGGCACTGCGTCAGATTACCATCGTGACCTTGGGATAAAATGTATTTTCTTAAAGTCTCGGCATCTATACGGTCAGGGTTGAGATTTGCTCGCGCGTTACACGCCTGGAGAAGGCAGCTTTCTCCACCCGACCCAGCACAGCTACGTGGTCATCAGCCACCTGGAGCGACACCAACTGACCTTCAAAGAAACGGTTTTTAACTCAAATCTTTTAGGAACTAAAGCTTCCAAAATGACTTCCAATGGTTCCAAAGACGCGTTGGAGTCAGAGTGGTCATAAATACAATTCCTTGCGTGGGCCACCTGTCTGTCCACAGTACAGCAGACACAGGGCGCAGGCCTTGCTACATGTAAAACAAAACAGGGTCAACTGTGGTTCCCGAAGTACAGCAAAGACAGGGAAAGCCAGGACTCTGGTCTGTTAATGAACCCCCTCACAAAGTCACAACCGAAGAGCAAAACTCTCAACTATTCAAATATACAGACAGACTGTTTACACCATTGCACATCCTCTTCCCTTTGCTTTTAATGCTCATGAGACGATTAAAGTGATGAGTTTGTGAACACATGCATGCGGGGCAAGCACACAGACGGGAAAGAGGAAACAGAGAAAAAAGTTAATATATGTCCACGAGGAAGGCTGCCAGCAGCGCTCCAACTAAACTGTCCTGTCCCCTTGTGCTCCCTCTGTTCCCCCCTCGCCGCCCCCTCACCTTCCTCAAAGCGGGGAAATCGGGTGGGAGGTTAGTGCAGAATCGAGGGGTCGACACCCCCCTCCCAGGCTACGTGTCCCCTGAGTCACCCGGGGGTGCTTCCCTTCAGTAGCACAGCTAAGGCACTTCTGGCTGCTTTGGCGGCAGCGGGGGTGGGGGGGTCCTCTCTATTTTAAGGCATGTGTCATCTAAGAGTAGTAAAGCTTTCGAAACTGGGCCGTTAAGGTTGACAGCTTAATACGGGATCACGGAAACGGACGGGGCGGAAGGACCCTCGGAGACCCCTGCCCGGGCAAGGGGCTTCCAGGTGCCCCGGCTCTGAGGCAGCGGTGGCGGAGGCCAGGAGTGGCGCGTCCAGACACGAAGACACGGCGGCTGCGGCGGCCTTCACCTGGAGCTGCCCTGGCTGCTCACGGAGCGCGACGTGCTGTAGCGTTTCTTCACGATCATGCTGATGTAGGCTTTCATAAGCTTGGCCACGTCCACCACCTGCCCGGGGAAGCAGAGTCAGCACGCGGTCGGAGTCCCCGCCAGGGCCCCGTGCCAGGGCCACCTGCCTGCCCGAGTCCAGGACCGAGAGCTTGGCGGCCCTCAACTGTTGCTCCAAGCGTGGCTTTTCTGAATACAGTGTGCGCGCCCGGTGGCTCTTGCACCCGCCCGAGGGCTCTGGCCTATCGCGGGCGCTGCGATCACCAGCCCCACTTAATACTGGCTGGTGCACACAGGGTCCCCACCGTCCACACGCCAGGGGCAGCTGCTCCCGGGATGCCGGCGCTGCCCCTCCCTGGGGCCTGCACCCCTGCCCCTTCAGGGACCCTGCCTTCCGCGTCCCTCCTTCCTCCTGACCTCAGCCCACGTCTGTTGGCAAAGTCATGGTCATTCGGTCAGGCACAACCAAAGACCCCCAGGGTGGCTCCCTCGTGTTGCCGGGCGCCCACCGAGTCTGGCAGACGATGCCTGGGACCCTCCGGTCAAGGCCCAGACGCCTGTCACTGCTCAGCCCGCCAGCCTCACCCCTCCTGCATGGTGGCCCCGGCCCTACTCCGTGATGACAGCAGCATCCACCTGTGCCTGCCAGCAGCTCCGAGTGGAGCCCTCGATCGGCTTCCTGATGGGCCATCATGAGGACACCCTACACCTCCAGAGGCTGTGACTCCATGAGCCAGAGTCAGCGGCGCCCAGGGTGGCTGCCCCCGCTCCTGCCAGCTGGCGCCCTCACTGGCACAAGGCTGTCTTGCCCCACTGCACACATCTTCCACGTGCCTCGGTTCCCTTCCTCCAATGAGTGAGACCCGCTGATAAAGCGGAACCAGGCTTCTCGGCCCCAAGAGTAGAGAAGACCCTTGGGGTGATCCCGCTTGGGCCTCAGGAGCCTCAGCGGGGAGGGACCACCGTACTGAGCTTTCACGTGTGTTAAAGCAGAACAGGTGCCCAGAAACGGGGCATCGCTCCGGTCCCTTGTCAGGGCCACAGGGGGTTCCCTCGGGTCGCTCCTTACCTCACTGGTTTCAAAGAGCAGCTCCCTCTCATCAACCACGATCTTGTACGTGTTTGCCAGCGGCGCCCCGAAAGACAGGATGTGCTCGTACTGGAAGACCTCTAACGGCCTGCCCTCCCCACGCTTGTACACGGAGACTGCGTCGGCGCTGACGCCCAGCCAGAGGTCCTGGGGGAAGCCGCCTTCCCTGCACTGGGGACGAGCGGGACACAAGGGGCAGCAAGAAACAGAGAATGGGGAGGCGGAGTCAGGCCCTCCATGCGGAAGGCCAGGCGCACCCATGTGTGTCCCGTGCCGGGGACGGATGGAGGGCGTGGGCTCCCTCCCGGGATGTGCTGGTGGGTTTCTGACTAGGTTTCCCTAATGCCCGAGGTGGGTCGACCAGCCGGTGACTCCTAACATCGCACCTGTGGAGTCCTTCCTCTACGCATCATCCAGGGAGCTCCCGGAGACGCCAGGCCAGGGAGGGTGACCACGGCTCCCCAGCAAACCCGGCAGCCCGAGCCCACGTCCCCTCCCTAGCCCGGCCTCCGATCCTTTCAAACACAAAATGTAGGATCAGAGGAAAATCCTCCAAATCCCTCCGTGCTGAGCTGTTTGGCTCCTTGACAAGAGGCTGTGGAGACCTCCCTCGAGCAGAGGGGAGAGGAAAGTCCCTTGAGGAGTGACAGGCTTCCCTGCGTGGACTGGTGTTGGAAAGGAAACAAGGCCCCGACGTGGGGAGGAGCACCCCATACGGCGGCAGGGACAGGGGTCAGGGACACCGCACAGGACGTGTTGCACAAAGCGTCTCATTTATACCTCAAAGCAGACCACCCTGAACCCGCCAAGCAACCAGTGTCCGATGAGAAGCCACGACGGGGTCTCGGGATACGTGATCATCAGTGGTTAGGTTTCTACAGAGGCTCAGCTAAAAGCCATCGGAACCGAACATGCTGAAGGGGATTGTGCTAAGACAGCCGGAAGCTCCTCTGGCCGGGCCGGCAAGCCTACCCGTCAAGGGTCAGGGAATCATAGTTTAGGTTTTGGGGGCCACGTGGTCCCTGTCCCGTCTACTCAATGCTGCCGTTCTCGTGTGAAAGCAGCCAGAGGAAGGAAGGAAGGCCGCCGCGTTCCAGTAAGTCGTCATGGTGAAGGCGGCAGGGGTCGGGGCGCACGCTGCCAGGCCTCCATCTAGAGGCAGGAGCGCAGGAGGACCTGCTGTCAGTAAAGGGGCTGCTTAACACCCGGGGAGGAGTCACAACGGGTCCTGCTCGTGGCCAAATCCCGTTTGTGACAAAAGTCCTTCCTCGGACAGAGATTCACGGGGACAACCAAATGTGAACTCCAGGTACAGCGGACCCGTGAACACCCTGGGGCCAAACTCTATGGGTCCCTACGTGTGGGTTTGTCTTTTTTAAAAAATACAGTAGAGGCTGTAAATGTATTTCCTCTTCCTTGGGACTCCCAGTATTTTCTCTTCTCCAGCTTTAAAGTAAGCACGGAACACGCAACAGGCTAAATGGGTCACTGGCAAGGCAGTTCAGGCCTAAGTCACCCCACAGGCAGTCGCGGCCGACTCTCGGGTTTCCAGCCCCCACAGTGTTCAAAGATCAGCGGTATCCAGAGTCCCTGATTTCACGTACATGGCTCAAAAAATTTTTTTGACATTTTAAATGCTGATTTTCACCAGCACTTTCTGATTGGGTCTACCTGTCGCTTCCAAAGAAGGAAGTTACCGTGAGCCCTGAACTTTCCGTGCACTCCCGATACCATGAAATCCTCCACTGTGGGGGAGGGAAACTAGGGGGAGGGGAAGGCGGAGGGGAGGGGGGGCTCTGACCACAGGGGCAAGAGCGCCTAGGGGCCCCACCTTGCCCCCTGCCCCATGCCCTGGGCCGCCCTCCCACCCCCAGCCCTACACCCTGGGCCGCCCCCCGCGCACATGCACAGTCAGCCCGGCGCACCCGAGGAGCGAGGGGCAGCTGGTCCTCACCTCCACGTCGAAGAGCGTTGACCCGTAGCCCGGCCACTCCTTGATCAAGGCCATGTACTTGGCCATGGCCTGCTCCTGGCCCACCCCATGCAGCTTCTTCCATTTGTCCACGATGCTGGCCCGGGCCGAGGACACCTCCTCCTTGATCCACATGTCCAGCATCTGCTCCTCCTCCACCTTCTGCCGGACGACGGAGCCCGTGCGGAAGCTCCGCCTCAGCGTCCCCTCCAGGAAGCTCGTCCGCCTCTTCTCCAGCCGCTCACACGGGGTGAAGGTCTTGGTGGCCTGGCTGATGCGGGCCTTAAGCCTCTGCAGGGAGTAAACGTCCTCGAGGGGTGGCAGCGAGGCGTGCGGCGAGTAGTCGCCCTGCAGGTACTGCAGCCGCAGGGCCGCCAGGACCTGGAGGTTCTCCTCGGGGGCCGGGTAGTGGCCGCGGATGACCGCCTCGTGCGCCTGAACGGGGTAGGCCGCGGGGTCAGGGTGCGCTCACCCCAGCCCCACTTACTGTGCCCTCACCCCCTTCACCTGCCTTCACCTCCCCGCAGCACAGAGAGCATCTAGCACACGTTTTACCCCCCAATCTCTCCCTCACCCCCCACTAGGGCAGTTCTGGGTGCAGCCGCCCCCTGCGTGCCCGCCCCACTCCTCGGCACCAACCACCGACTCAGGAGGCCTATGAGCGCATCTGTCCCTGCTCCCCTGCCAAGGAATCCGTTTGGAAAGCTCCTCCTACCTGTTCAAACATAAAGGCAAATTCCACGCTGTCTTTTGGCACGTTGTCCGTGTCCAGGAAGCAGTAAAGCTTGAAGTAGAACTTCCAGGGCAGGTCCCCCACCTCTGATGTGGCCGCCAGCCTAAGACGGAAGGCAAGAGGGGCTCAGAAAGCAGGAGGAGGGATGGCCCTTCGATGCCACGAGGCGCTGACCCCGGGGGCTCGCTCCAAGGACGCAGACAGCCTGTGCGAGCCCAGGTCCCGGGGCTGCGGGTGCAGAGCAAGGTGCAGCTGGCTACCAGAGCTCCTCACTAGGGCACTTGGCCAGAATGAAAGTCACGCTTCCACTTTGGCCCCACTTTAAGGCCACACACAGGCCCCCTCAGGTAAACTGCTGACCACGTATTTGCAGAGTGCGCAGCCAGAGGGGCCTGGCGAAGCACGTGCGAAGTCCCTCCAAGTAGAATAAATGGGCTCCGTCCTCCTTCCCTCTACTAGCCCTCAAATAAATACTTACAAAAATCAACACAATCGGTGTGGAGGCTGTGCTCACATGGAACAGAAATACCTTTTGTGTTCTTAGGGGAAGTTAGGGGAATGTCCTGGATCATGTATTAGAAGGTCCGAGAGCTATAAACTGCAGTTTGAAGAGGTTATGAGTTTGCTCGTGTCCACCAGCCCTGTTTCGAAGCCAATGACACGTAAGCAGCCTGGAACCAGGAGATTCCAAGACAGTGTGTACAACGGGGACCTCGGAATGTGGGGGGAAGCACAATGGGGCGCCAGATCCTATTTGAGACTGCGGCTTTACTTAGGAATCAAGAAAAACAAGCAGCATGGAGCGATGACAAATTATTTTTTTTTTAATTTTTATTTATTTATGATAGACAGAGAGAGAGAGAGGCAGAGACACAGGCAGAGGGAGAAGCAGGCTCCATGCACCAGGAGCCCGACGTGGGATTCGATCCCGGGTCTCCAGGATCACGCCCTGGGCCAAAGGCAGGCGCTAAACCGCTGCGCCACCCAGGGATCCCCAGCGATGACAAATTAAACATGCTTCAGAACAGGAACTCAGGACGTCTGGGGGGCACGGTCAGGCAGAGGCCTGGGGTCCTGGGATCGAGCCCCACATGGGGCTCCCTGCCATGTTCTCTATCTTTCAAATAAATAAAATCTTTTTTTTTTTTTTAAAGGAACTCAAATGCCTACTGAAGCTAAAACAGATGGCAAATTCAGATCCTCAACTCTTGCTCTTAACTTATTTTATCTGCTGACACTTTAGGGAGAAGGAACTTACTTTTCAAACTTTGCTAACACATCGGCCACGATGGTTCTGCTTTCGATGGCTTTATCAACGCTCCCATTGTACTCAAACAAGGCGAACATGTTCCTGCTGTCCTCCATGGCGAGGCCTCTGATCAGCTTCTCCACCACCTGCAAGACACCCCGAGGCCTTGAGCTTCCAGCACACCGTCCCGGGTGCCTTCACCAGACCCCAAGGGCTGCGGGCACAGCGCACAACGCCCCTTGAACTGTCATGTGTGGCCACCTAGAACCTCAAAGGGGCTGTTTCTTCAGTGTTCTCGAGAAATCAGATTTCTCTGGTCTTTGTGAAAAAGAACACAGAGTGTCTTGCCCACCGGAGGAGAGACAGATGCCGGGCAAATTTCTTGCAAACCCACACCAGTCGGAAAAGTGCACAGAAACTGCAGCCCTTTCATCTGGTACATTCATCCACTTCCAAGAAACAATGGCTTCAACCAATGTTTCCTCTTTTTGCACCGAAGCTTTTCTGGGTTTTAGTCCTTCTTTTACCCAATTTGTTTTATAATGCTAAACATAGGTTTAAAAAAAAAAAAAAAAAGGAAATGTGTACCTCCAGCCCACCATCCTTCTAGATAATTGTATGGCAATCAGAGGCCCCTTAACACGGAGATGCTACAGCAAACCCGTGTCGTGCACATGAGCTCCACGCGGCCGCTTCTCACATCAGCAAGATTAGGTCTCCGACAATTCAGTGCCAGCTTTATTTTTGTGCCCCGACTCATCTTTGATACATATCTTTACCTCCTTGTACCTGAGTTTAGTTGTGGGTCACACCTTGTTTACCAAGTGGCTACACTACGCAGCCCAGAGCTGCCCGTTCGCCACCCGACCGCATGCCACCTCTGTGACTTACAGGCTCCGGCAGTTAGGTACCAGATGGCACCGGCGACGCAGGGGCTCGTCCCTCACCTCGCCGGCTGTGGTGTGGGAGTTGATGGTGATCTTGCACGAGCCTCCACCATGGCAGTACACCGTGGACGTCATCTCCTGCCTGTGGATCAGGGCTTCTATTTCATCTCGGGAAGGCACAAACTCTCTGCATTTGGTTTTCTTGAGCGATTCATAAATGAAGAGGGAGTATTTTTCCATCTCGGTTCCTGGAAACTGGTCCCGTATCCTAGGAGACAAACACTTCACTGTTAATTGCTAGACTGCGGCTGGCTGGCGTCTGGGAGCTGGGCTGCTTCAGGCAGCTGCCAGCCTCAGCCGCCCAGGCCCCCTGTGGCGCGGAGCAAACACCACTCACTCTCCCTCCAGTGGGCCTGACCCTCCTGCGCAGGTTTTGTTTAAATGCAAAAAAAAAAAAAAAAAAAAAAAAATTCCCAAAGAGCCAGTGCCCTAACAGGGAGCAGCTCTTGCTGCCAGCTAGCTCCCCGCCGCAGTGCTGCTGGGAGTCACGTCTCATTCCGTCGGACGAAAACACTTTTTCCATAGTTCACCAGAGTCTGAATCACAGTGTTTCTACCGGTTTTGGTCTGGACCAAAATACCCAGGCGTCCCCCCAGTCCACTCATACAGGCAGCGGTAACTACGTGTACTCAACGTCATCGACATCAGGACACCACACTGACAGGGGCCCAGTGCCAGTGCCAGCCTTGCGTGTGGCTTGGCGTGGGGACGAGGACGCCTCCCCTGTGTAACCCGTGCCAGGGACCCACCAGCCTGACCCGGAGCCCCTGACCACACCAGGTGCCTTCTCTCTCACATCCTCTCCTCTAAGCCACGACCCACCACGGCACTGTGGGACTGCGCTGCCCTGGCCGCCTCCTACCTTCTCAGGTGGAAGCGGAGGTACTTGAGGATCCCCCGGCTCGGCAGGAAGGTGCAGCTGAGACACGTCAGGATCTGCCAGCTGCACAGGTTGCCCACACTGCCTGGATGGGGCACTTTGTTGGTCTGCTTGATGAGCTGGCAATACAGCTCGTCTCGCAGAGGTCGGAGGTCATGCCCAGTCTGCAGGATGCCTTGGATTATGGGAATGGGGTCAGACATGGATTCCAGTTGCTGGAGGGAATTGAATATCTTGATGGCTTCATCCTGAAGGGTCGTGTAGCCCTTGTCCTTGAGCACTGGGCGGAGACAGAACACAGAAGTGTTTACACCCGGGTCTGCACAAGGGGGACACTAAGCAGCACACAAAGGGAGGGCTGGGGACAGACAGTGACGTTCCCCGAACCTCTGCGTCAGGGGAAAAACACCATCAGGACAGAGGTGGGCAGCGTACACCACTGAACCATTTTACCCCACAGACCACCTGAGCACTGGTCTGTGGCCAAGCAGGTTCCAGATCTGTGACGTCAGGCGTTCAGCATCTGGTTGTCTGTACGTTCGGGTGGCTCTGAGTTCACAGGGAGGGCTGGTGCTTCCTGACTCCCTTTAGAATTGCTCTGTTCGCTCGACCATCCCTGTACCAGCGCACACAGCAAGTGCCAACGGGACATGGCTAAGGAGTGACCAGGAGGACGGAAGAGTCGCTGGGAGCACGGGGTCGGGGGACTCACGGTTCAGGTTTATGTCTCCGTAGGGAAGGGGCAGCAGCGGCGAGTGCAGCGGGTGGTGTGTGTGGCGGAGGATGGGGTTCCGCTTGTAAATCTGCTCCACCACATCAGAGTTCAGGCAGTTCTCCTTGGAAGCAGAGGACCCAGTCAAATGAGCATGCAAGCTCATCCAAAACGTGCGTGTACAAGCACAGAAGCATCTGTATTCTTTTGTGTGTGTGTGTGTTTTTTTAGTTTTTTAAAATTAAACTTTTTTTTTTTTTTTTTTTAAGACAGAAGGTGAGTGAGTATGAGCGGGTGGGAGGGGCAGAGGGAGAGGGAGAGCAGGTCAGGCTGGCTCCATGCACTGAGCCCCCGTGGGGCTGGGGCTCACAGCCCTGAGACCGTGACCTGAGCTACCCAGACGCCCCACGCAGGAGCACTCCCTGGAGTCCAGAGCATCCAGAAGCCTCAGGACTGTGGTGAGCACACAGGCACTGGCTGGTTAGGGAAGTGTCCAACTCTGGATCTCAGGTCATGAGCTCAGGGTTGTGGGCTCTGTGCTCAGCAGGGAGTCTGCTTCCCTTGTCCCTCTTGCTCTCTCCCTCTCTTAAATCTCTAAAAAAACAATATTCATGCATGAAGATACCCACAGTCTGCGTTTGAAGACAAATCACACATATTTCTTACACACGACCCTTCCTCTTCATTTCATGTATATTTTCCCACATTAAAAAAAATCCACCCCCGAGATTATATTTCAAAAAATTAAAGTTTTTGCTGTTGCATCGAGCTTAAACCATGTATTTTTTTTATCTGTAATTCATATAAAAAAATATATATTCTGCTTTCGTCCTTTAGGTGTATTCTCTGTATACCTGAAAATTATACTTGGTGATAGGTTATTACTGAGACTGTTCAACATGACTGCCTTCTCTTTTCGGAAATTTAAGAGCTCCCTTCATGGAAATTCATCACGTATTTATGCTCCTAAAATGTTAAATTGGGATTCAAGGAAGGCAAAGTTCCTTTTAGAACGTTAAATAAACAGGAAAGTTGAAGGAGGGGCAGTGAATCATTCTATCCTGGTAATTTCTACTATGAAACTTCTTTAATAACTCCTGATTGAAAGCCAAAGGGGGGGGGAACCTCAACTTTAATTATTTCAATGATTTTATATGGACTAAATTAGGGCAACCCGATTTTTTAAAAAGGATTGCTTCACATTTGGAAAATTCTATCACTCTTTTAACGACAGATTTCAAATTAGAGACTCTAAGAAGAGGTAAGATGTAGCTTTGAAGAGAAAGTTCAACTGATGTGTTTTCACCCGTTTCTCAAAAGAAAGCTTCAAAAAAAGTTTTTTAGAGCTAGACAGGAAGTTGCTGGCATTCGGCACCCTGGGTCTTGTGCAAAGCTCTGTGGAGTCTTGGGAGAATAAATGACCTAGTAGAACAGCTCCAAACACCCAGGACACAGCCCGCCTTGGAATCAAGGGGCAGACCCGGATTCGGGGGAAATGACATACGAGGCCTGCCCCCCGTAGCAGCATCGGGCCGCTCCCCTGGATCTGATGAGCTAACGCCCCCGATGAGGACCAGTCAACGCCGCCTTGCTATCATTCCCAGATCCTTTCTGTCACTGCTCCAGCCCTTTCCCTTGTATTGGGAAAATCTCTGATGGGTAACTTAGAGGAACGGCAGTAAAGATGATCCCCGTGACCTGCTTCTGCATCAGGGACTGACCAGCTGCGTGAATAGGGCAACACAATACTCCGCATTCTGTTTCCATTCCCGAAAAATGAGCGCGGTCATCCCCGTGCATGGCCGCCGTGTAGTTATTCCTTGAAATGTAGACTCACCGGGCGATTCATGTTTATGAAAAGGAAATTATGGTTTAAATCACAGTTTCAGGTCGATGGTGGTCCAGAGACTTGGACGCTTCCTGTGAGCTTGGAGGTGCCTGATAAAGGCGCTGAGTTCTCTAGACCATCTAGGCAGCGAATCCACTTACGTGCTCTAGTAGCCGTACAGTAAGAGAATTGCTGGTGCTCCCAGGAGGTCCCCGACCCAGGGCTGAAGGGGAACGTGTGGCACAGCAGGTCATCGCCTGCACCCTGATCACACCCTGACCCTGGGCGAGGAGCCTACGCCCCACACCTCAGGCCATCTTCCCTCTGTCCACACGGCCCATCACTCGGGTTTGCCTCGGCAGCAATATTTGATGCCCCACGGAGGCGAGGTTTGTTTTTAAAGATTTCATTTATTCATGAGAGACAGAGAGAGAGGCAGAGACCCAGGCAGAGGGAGAAGCAGGCTCCATGCAGGGAGCCCAACGTGGGACTTGATCCCGGGACCCCAGGGTCACGTCCTGAGCTGAAGGCAGGCACTAAACCACTGAGCCACCCTGGGATCCCAAAGAGGTTTCTCTACTGTAAAACTTCACCTAAATTGCAGCATGAGATTTCTAAAAGCAGCGACGTTCCAACACGAACGTCATCTAAAGTTAGTTTTGATTATAGAATAAAAATGGAGCTCGGCCAACGTCTGGATTCCCAGGGTGGGTCTCAGGCCCCTACCTTGATGTCCTGAATCAGCTGCTGGGTGGGAGTGTCGATCGGGGCCTTGGTGTCCGTCACGTTCTGGATGGCGCTGGACCACCTGGTGGCCTCGTTGAGCAGCTTGGTGTACAGGCGGTAGCAGTGTTTGCGGCCATACACGGTGATGTTCCAGTAGCCTGCGGCACAGGGTGACGGCCGCGTGAACCCCGGGGACGGCCGGCACCCATGGCCCGGGAACCCAGCACCCTCGGAGCCCATGCCCTCTGTGACGAGTACTCGCCCAATCCCTGAGCATACCAGGCACCCACATACCCGACCGCATGAGGGCTCACAGCTCAGAGGGGACCAGGTCTGATAGCAAATCCAGGCTTAGAGCTATAAATGGGGGCTCCGGGGGCTCACCGGGTTAGCTGTCTGCCTTCCGCTCAGGTCACGGTCCCGGGGTCCCCGGGTCATGGGGTCGAGCCCCTGTGTCAGGCCCCGTGCCTCCCCCTCTGCCTGCCGCTCCCCCTGCTTATGCTTTCTGGCTCTCTCTTCATCAAATAAATGAATAAAATCTTATTATACATAGAAAACGGCCTGCTTTGCTCTGAACTATACGTGGCTGTATATACTGCACATATGTACACATATGAAATGCTACCATTTGCTCTGAAAGAAAAACAGGCATAGATGGAGTTGCTTTTACGGCTCTGGAACCAGAGTGAGAGCGCCTCAGGCCCTGACGTTCCTCTGCCTTCCCATCACGTTTCCTCTCCTTAGCGCCCCTGTGAGAAGCCCTCTTGCTAAGCAAGCAGTCTGTGTGCCCACAAACAAGCGGGCATTTGGAACAGAGGAGCGATATTCAAAAAAAAGAAAAAAGAAAAAGCACAAAATCACAACTAGCAACAAAACTCAAACAATCCAGAAATATTTTCATGATTCAGAAGATAAGAGAAAACTATGCTAACATGACTGTTCTTCATTGCTCGAGGTTCATGAGCCCCTGAGGCCCCAGGGTTTAGCTTCTGGGGGCCGCGTTAGGGCTCTCCCAGTGCCGGGCTGGGAACCCTGAGCCCAGAGCCAACACGGTCCTGGGAGCATCCGGGCAGTGCAGGGAGGCAGGCCCTCCGTCCCGCGCTGTCCGCCCACGTACACTGAGCTACCCTGCGGGGCCCCAGAGGGCGCATTGGCGAGACGTGAGCCGCTGGGGGGGCACGCGGGGGCACACTCATTCCCTCGCTCTCCTCACCTGTCTCCTTGAAGATCTTCTCGTCCGGGGGCACCACCGAGCAGAGGCTGTTAAGGACCAACGTGCCCAGTTTCAGGGCATTCTTCTCGGAGCTCTTGTAGTAATCCAGGGAATTGTGGGTCAGCACAAACCACCGCTTCTTGAGCTTCAGCGAAGACATCTTCGGGCTGTTCTTGCCTTCTTTGTGTAACCAGCCTGCAAAGATTCAAGCGTCCGATAAGAACCACGAAGGGAAACACCCAACAGCGGGTAGCCCGCGGGATACTGACAGGCGGGTCCTGCCGCCACATATTTGCTAGAAAGGGCCACCGCCACGTCTCATGTGATTTATTTTTTTCTTTTAAAGCGACTTCAGGAGTCTCGAATTCTCACAAACACTGCTCCCATGGGAGACGCCGCAGGGTCCCTGCCAAGGGAAACCGAGCTCCAGGACTGAGCCAGGCATGGCGGCAGTCACCTCTCACGATAAACTCCTGGCCTTCCACTCTGGTGTCGCCCTTGGATCTCTGCAGCAGGGTTATCCAGTGATGCATCTCCTCCGGCGTGTCGGCGTTGCAGTGGAGCACCCGGTTGGCCGTGATGATCACAAATGAGTTGGGTCTGCGCAACGGGGCGAGAAGGAAGCAAACAGCCTTATCTCGACTGGTGGCACCAGCCGTTCGAACTAAGACCCAGACGCCTGTCTCCTGGCTCGAGGACCACAGGGGTTAAAAACCGCGGTGCCGCTTGCGGCTCAGGCCAAGGCAGATGTCGCCCTCTCCCGCAGGAGCTGCTTTATGCATCACTGACCTTTACACTTGGAGCCACACGCTGGAGGCCCTCCAAGGGGAAACACTGCCTCATGCAAAACTTTCCAGATGACACTGGGTTTGGGGGGTGGAGGGGGCCGGGGGGAGCTAAATAAGGAGACAGTGCGGGGAAATCCTTTTGGGCGCCTCTCCAAAGTAACTTTCTTCCTGCCCCTGGGTCCTGCCTGGGATCGTGCTGCCAAGGGGCGGGCGTGCAACGTCGGGCAGCAGTAAGAGGACATCGGCAGCGGGGGAGCACGGAACATTTGACATGCTGGCTGACGCCTGCTACCAAAGCCACCCTGGGCCGTGTTTGCATTGCACAGCGGTCTCACAGAGGCTCATTTCCCAGTCGGGGATCAGGGAATGATGGAAATGCACTTTCTCCCTCCTCCCTTTGGCCTGGCAATGCCCTGCGTCGGTCCTGGGCTCCTGCTCTTGGGCGGTCCTGCATCAAACCACTCACTCAAACTAGTGACAGTGAACGATTTCTTGCAGGTGCTCGACTGCTGACTGTAGCTAAGTGCTGCAGAAGGTCGAGAAAAAGCAAGATTCCCAGGACCGGAGTAGGCAGACAGGTGCTCCTCAGAACTAAGAGACTTTTCTATAGCTGACGGGAGAAGGACGGCCACTGGAGGGAGAGAGGGGCCGAGGAGGGGATGCAAGGTCCTACATGTGGATCCTCACGTGCCCAGCCTGCCGGAGCAGAGGGGTCTGGGTGAGACACAGGTCGTTATGACGAGAACCTGACTGTCAGAATGACATCTGCATGACTACTGACAACACACACTTGTCAAGGTCCCCAAGCCAGGTGCGGGGTGGGGCGGGGTGACACCAGGCGACGGGTCTGGGGTTCCAAGGGGCCTTGGTCAGTGGCCCGATGGAGACTCTAGGTCATTCTGCCTGCTAGGTGCTGTTTTCGTTGTGAGTAGGAATACGTCTCCACTGGCTTTCTAAAGCTGCGTTCCTGAAGGCAGCAGCCAATTTTCATTCTTACTCAGAATTCAAACAGCAGCAAAGGAAAATAGAGATGACGAAGACAAAGGTCAGTGGTACAGACTCCTGAGGCCATCTGCCTTCGAAACACGCTGGTGCAAGGGCACGGATAAGGTGGGGACGTCAGAGAAGAGTGTCTGTGGGTTCATCAGTGTCCTACGTCAACGTTGCCACCAGAGCTCTCTTCAAGTTCATCACTGAGTCTAGAAGGGGAAGGGCACCCTCCCCATGCTGAATACTGTTTTCCTGCACAGGCGTGGTCTTCCTCTAGGCAGCCTGGGTTTACCCCTGTACCCAGATGGAGAATATTCCTCCGGTGTGAGCGTTTCTCACTGTCCCCTTCCCCAACATCCCGAGGGTACCCAGAGAGGAGGACTTCCCGAGGACAAAAAACTGGCCACAGGGAACGCAGACTGGGATGGAGCAGGCCACCTGCAGCCCAGAATCAGCTCACGGCCCAGGAGCCTGAGCCCTGGGGGGGCAGGAGGGCTGCTCGTTAGAGTCACATCCAAACTTACCTCTCGGGGCTGTCGGAGGCGCACACAGAATCAATCAGCCCCACGTCCAGCGTGCCCTGGAAGGGAGCAAAGCCGGGGCAAGAGACCCATGTGAGCTCCGCGCATGCGGCCATGATGTCCCTCCCCAGACTACGACTGTCCACAGGCACGCAAGAAAACCCCTGTCCTGTCTGTGTGAACTGCACAAGCGGAGAGTTCCCTGCACAAGCGAGGCCCCCGTCCTGCTGCTGAGCCCAGCCAGCCCCTACGCAGGGCGCGGTCTGCGGGTCAGTCGCTTAAGAGGAAAAAAGTCGATTAATTAATCTATCTTTATGCTTAAAACACTTTTGGTGAGAAGGGTTTATAAACTTCTTTCAACAGTACAGGTTTTCTGGCTCACAGTACGGTCCGTCACCAAACTCTAGACGGACTCTAAGAAACTCTGTACGTTGCCCTCAAGAAATTACAGCCTTGCTCTAAAATAGGACTATCCGGTCTGTGTGCGTCTAGCATGCAGTGAAGACGGAAAGAATGCGAGTCAGAATTCGCTGAGTCCCTTGAAGGAATGTATGCTGTACTTCCACGGTTTCATAAAACTCAGGAATTTTTGGGGGGGAGGGTTCGTGGAACGTTTAAAGTGGGAGGGCTGGAATCTAGGACTACTACCATCTTCTTTCACTTACTCTCTTTTCTGCAGGATCTTTAAACAAGACAGTCCTGGTTTTCTCTTTAATTGTTACTCTTGCGGTTGAGTGCCCAGAACCCCCAGCGCCCCCCCACGCCCATGGGGACGCCCCTCCCCTGCGACGCCCACGCACCACGGCATTTTGCGGGTTGGCCTGCTCATCGTGCATCTCCCGGATCTCCTGGTCGGTGGACGCATGCACCTGGCTCAGCACACTGAACCACTGGCTGCAGGGAAGAAAGCACGGGTCAGGGGGCCGACTGCCGCCGGCAACCAGCACCTGGCGCCCTTCTTGCCACCTTCTCTGTGAAAACGACGTTTCCTCTGGGCGACTTGGTTTTTCACGTGCCTACACTACTCACGGGTGAAGGGGGGCTTCACGCGGCCTGTGGCGGGCAATGCCCAAGGGCCTGTAGCTGCCACCTGCTGCAGGCTGGGACCCGTGAGACACCCTCTCCTCCAGCCCCCCAAGACCTTGCACAGGTGATGAGCACGGGGAGGAGATCCTCAGTTACATCAAGGATCCTTACTGAAGATGTGACCTATAACCTCGGGAATATTCAAGTGCCTTCCATTTTTTAAAAGTGAATTGCAGGGTAAGAAGGCCAGTGAGGTCCGGGTACCTCCTCAAGGTGGCCCCTGAGGTCTGTGCCCCGCTCACTCCAGGATGCAGTTTCCAACCACCTGATAGATAGATGAGGACAGATGCATCCTTCCTTCCCTCCCTTCTTTCTTTCTCTTTCTTTTAGATATTTTACTTATTTGTTTGACAGAGTGAGAGAGAGCACAAGCAGGGGGAGGGGCAGAGGGAGGAGGAGGAGCAGACTCCCCGCTAAGCCCAATGCAGGGCTCGACCCCAGGACCCCAGGATCATGACCCGAGCCACCCAGGAGCCCCAGGATTTCTTTTACTTTACTTTTTTTTTTTTTTAACCTGATACAATTTCTACTTAAGTATGAATAAAAACAGAGGAGAGCTGGAAACAGGAAACAATTGCTTGAAGCAGCAAGTGCAGTTATCTTGACCTGAGAACTCCTCTATCTTCACCTGAAATGAGCTTTCTCACTTGCAGCCTCATTAGTCAGACAATGAAGGAAAACAGGCCCACCCCAGAAAAGTCAAGCTGAGCAAAAGCTGTGATGCAACTAGAAACACAATACAGGCTTGAGGAGAAGGACCACAAATATCCACTCATCCGTCCTCCATCTGTCCATCCAGCGTCTATCAAGCAACTCTAAAATGTGAGAGGCACCAGATGCGGGATGCTACGACATCCTTCTCCCGCAGGGGCTAAGAAGACCAGTAGGTACAGCGGGTACGGCACTTGGTATAGGGCAGGAGATGTAAGCAAAACATGTGCACCTGCCTTTACAGAAATGTCAGTCATGCCAGGTATCCACAGCAAGGCACTAAAATCTATCTCCTATGATCCCGAAGGAGAAAAATGTGACCGAGGGGCTTGAAAATAGGCAACATATACAGATTCTTTGGGAACCCAAGGGAGACGTCTCAATGTAAATTTGCTTCATCAATTCTGATGAACTCAAAAGCAAGACCTGAGTCACTGCTTCATGAAGCTCAACAATTTCCCAAATCACTGAAAAGCACACGAGTTCAAGATGCAGGTAGGCCGCATGGGATCTCCCCCTCTCACACGCGTGCACACTCAAATTTGCACATTTCTCCTCTTGAGTCAAATTTAACTTCATCTGAGAAGAAGTTTTAAAAAAATGTGTCCTCCTGGTGAAGGGAAGAAGTCCCCTGCTAAAACATCCCAGATGAGGGGGCACCTGGGTAGCTCAGTGAAATGTCCACCTCTTGATCTCAGCTCAGCTCAGATCTTAATCACGGGGTCATGAGTTCAGGCCCTGCCTGGACTCCACACCCAGCATGGAGCCCGCTTGAAAAAAGTCCCAAATGTTAAATTTAGCAGGTTGATTATGGCATCAAACAGAGAGGATGGCTACCAAGCGCTGGTCCTATAATTCAGCTGAAAAGCTATGGGCTTTCCCTGGACCCCAACCAACCCCAAGTGGTCTCCAGGAGGCCCAGATGGGCTATAATTCCAGGTTTGCTTGTTTTTCCAGTCTCTGTCATCACTTATGGATCCAAGCAGGGTTTTCATGCATTCCCACGGGAAGAATTACTCTCTGCCCTTAATGCTGCTACCATGGTGTTGTATTAACTCAAACGTTCAAAGGGCAGAGAGAGGGGTAGTGAGAGGCACCAAGAATTCGTGACAAAATTCTAATGATTCCCAAGGTCAAAAGTAAGGGTTTTAGGCTGAAGATGCTCTCTGGCGTTGCTCAGAGGAGACGACGGGTACCCAACACAACCCTGGGGCTCACAAAGCAGCAGGAGCAGACCAAGAGACACTCTCCTGCGTCTCCTCCCCTGCATGACCCTGTGATCTATCACACTGGGGAGCCGATACCAGTTCGCTCTTACTTCATTCCACGTCCCCCCTAGAATGGAAACCAGGAACATGAGACTACTTGGTTCGGCCAATGGACACCAATCACACTGTCCTTTGAGCGTGGTCACCAATTTAAGTTCTTGAAGAACCATGAGAAACGTGATGCCTCAGTTCAGCAGGACTGAGCTGCTGTGACTTCACCCTTCCTCATACCTGGGTCTCTACTCTGTGAGATGCGGTGCATGGTAACAGTGGTAATAGTGCTACTACCTCGTAGGCAGCCGTGAGAATTAAATGAGGTGATATACGTGAAGCATCTCAGAATTTTGCCTGAAATGCAGTAATTCTCTAGGCATCAACCATCTCCTCTGTCCTACTGACTTCAGCGCAAACACCTAAGTGCTGGTCGTCGCCGCAGCGCTATCGTCTACTTAAACAACTAGTGGCTGATGCTCCCACCCTCTCAACCCTTCAGCCAACACAGGCTGTTCCCTCCCTTGCAAAGCTCAGAAGCTTCCAGAAGGTGGGCTTTGAGCTCTGGGTGGTTGCATGGTTTGCACACGCTGCCCGGGACAACTGAAGCCAGAGCCACGGGAACACAGTGTCCCATGCAGCGGCACCCAAGGCTGGAAGTCCTGGACGGCGTGCGGTCCTCATACCACACCCACCCCCCGGACCAGTCCGTCAAGCTCGTGATGCTTCAGCCGTCCTAACAGAAAAGCCCAATGAGAAAATCACGCACAGTCTATCCAGAGCCAGCAGGGAGGCACCCAGGCCCGAGCAGGAGTGAGGGTGGTGGGCGCCGGCGGCATCTCACCTGGCATCCTCTGGGGATTCAGCGATGAGGTGGAAGGTCCTGTCGGCCATGATGATGTCTATCCCGTTCTCCTTGCTGGTGTTATCTATGATCTCTCTGCAAAGCAAGAGCACCAAGGCCACATCAGGACCAGAGTCCTCCACACTGAGTGGGAAAAGCAACTTCACCACACTAATGAGTGGGTTGGAAACCATAGCCGAAAAGCCAAACACCTGCTTCAGCCTTGTTTTTTTTTTTTTTGAGAAATGATGCAGATGCCTGTGGCGTCCGGGGGAGCTGGGCTCCTCCCCCTTCCCAAGATGGGGAGGCTCAGGCTGGAAGCAAGGGCAGGTGGGTCCTTGACTTCTCTAGTCTCGCGCCTCACTCGGCCCCCCTGAGGCTTGGGATGGCTGCCCCCCTCTGGCCCGCACCTTCCTGCTCCTCTCACTGCCCTATGGAAGGGCCCCCCAGGTGATGAGGCTGCCTTTGCGCACCCCCCCATCCTTGCGGCTTCCCATGACAGCTTAAGGCCTTGGCTGGCACCTCGGACTGAGCCTGCCTGGTAGGGGCACCTTATTTCCACCGGCAAGAGCAGGGCTTGGGTGTTTCTGGAGCTCCACACCACCTTGCTCTCATCATCCACAACACTAGAAGTTTAGAACCAGTGGACCAGGTCAACAAGATCGGGGTAAACACAAGCGGGTGTTGGGATGGGACCAGACAGTTGATGAAGAAGGGTCTTGGGGATAAAGCCAGCTTGCTTTGCCAAGTGATGTTGCCTAACTTTTCAGGAGTTAGTAAAACATTTACATCTACCAAACCAAACAGTCTAACTAGTTGGGAAAAATAAATATCTTACAGCTAAAATCACTGAAACAAGATAGAGTGTTTTTAAAAATCAAGATGGTGCACATTCCTGGAGCAGCCTGTGACACATGGTCTGAGCAGGAAGCAAGAGGTGACGGACGGGCAGGAATCATCAGCCAAGCATCGGGTCACAGAGTCTCTTGAGCGCGGAGGCCCCAGCGAAACCGTCCAGACCATGTCATCCTGGACAGCCACGACCTCGCATGTAAAGTGAGCGGTGAGGCTGTGATGTAGCTGGAAGGCTGTGGCTCGGAACCACAGTGGCCCAGTGGATCCTGGGAAATGTTCCGAAAACACAGCTGGGGGCGCGGGGACCCTCGGGATGGAGCCCAGGGACCTGTGCTTGTAAAAACCTTCCCTGGAAGGGGAGCGATGCTATCATCACATCACCTAGAAACACATGCCGCGGCTTCTCCAATGACAGCAAGTGATGAAGAAAACAATGGCGGCGGGGGGGGTGGTGGTTGTGGTGGTGGAAACTATAAGAGATTCAAGAGATCTGTCAATGGATTAAAAATTATAGGCCTTATTTGGATGCTGATTGGAATAAACCAACTGGAACCAACAAGAGTGTTATCGCCTCCATTTGCAAGACCAGTGAGGAATTTTGAACAATGACTGGAGTTTGGACTAAGAAGTTAATGTTTTTTCTTTAAATGCTGTCGCCACAATGTCATTATGTATTAAGACTCCTACATTCTAAGTGCAGAGTAAAATATTCAGGGCTAGAACTCTGCTGCCGGGAACTTGCTGTGCAGAACACAGAGGGCGTAGGGGCGCGGGGTGGCTGGGGTTCCTGGTGGGCACAGGGGCCATGGCTGGGGGGGTGCGGGGCGAGCACGGGGACTTTATTATATCTGCCTACTTCTGCGGGACACGGATACTTTCTGTAACCAAACGTTTCAAAATACAAAGGGGATGATTTTAATTCAGGTCAATTAAAATAATCTTAATGTGGTAAAACCCTGACAGCTCCACACCCTCCCTCAGCAGAACAGGGCGGAGGCAGCCCAATGACAGCTGTGTCCTTGACCCTGACTCTCACAGAGCACCCAGGACCAGGGAGTTATTAGGGGGCACGGGGTGAGGTGCAGGGGCTCAGCCAGGATCCCCACTGTGAGATCCCCTCCGCCCTCCTCTGAGCCGCCTGGCTTTGCTGACCTCCTGCGGTGTCGGTGAGAGCATCAGGCAGGCAGGGCCGAGGCCCAGGCAGAGCTGCGAAAATCCCAGCCCCACACGGACTCTGTTCCCCAGCCTCGGCTCCTCACAAACCCCGGGGGGCAGCCTGGAGGAGTCAGTACTCTGCTCTCTGCACTTCATTATTCGCCCTCAAAATCAGATGTGTAGACTCCCCGCTTTTCAATAAATAGTCATTTGACTCCCGCTTTTCAATAAATAATCCTCTAACTTTGCCGATGCTGGTCACGAACAATGCACTGTCCTCGGGTCTCGTGGCTTCAGGAGTGAATCACTCTCAGAGCTTATTGTACTCATTTTCTAACTACGGTGACTGCTTGGTTTTGAGTGAAGCAGTGGCCGTGGGTTATCCCAAAACACTTCACATGTAGCATTGAGGTGCCCGGCTGCTGCTAAGCCCAACAATTTTCTGCAAACTTTAATTTTTAACCCAACTAATGGGTCAATAGTCCAGTGCTTTAGTTCTACAAATGGGTAGCAGAGAAAGGGGCTGTGTGGGATCCCGGGCCTGGTTCTGTTCCTCTCGTTGCTGGGAACAGAGGTGGCCGGCACAGCCCACATCGGTAAAAGATCAGGGATTCATTCCAAAAACATCTCCCAAAACATTAAAACCAAAAAACCAAAACGAAGGTAGTCAAAAGTCACAATCTTCCAGTTATAAACGCCATCCTGGGGGTGCCCCGCACAACGCGAGAGAATTAGTGAAGGACACAGCACCGCATACTTGGAAGCTGCGGACTGAACAGACCTGAGTCCTTGCCACCGGAAAAGAACCGCATAAGCGTGTGTGGCAACGGGTATAAGCAGACCCACCGGGGACATTGGTTTGCAACCAGGAACCAGAATGTGGAGCCCCCAAGGCCGCAGGCTGCATGGCGACAGCCCCAGGGCCAGGGAGCAGAGCCTGCAGGCCGACAGTCTGGCCGCACAGGGCGTCCTCTCAGCACGTGTACGCTGACCCACGGCGGAATGAGGTCTGGGCCCACAGCGCCCGGCCGACCCCAGCCCCCGGCGAATCATGCACTGGATAGAGTGACTGGGGCGCACAGACACAAACCCTGAGCACCCCCAACCGCGCCCCTGACAGGGTCTGTCCACATACCTGGCTGCCCGGACCTCCAAGGTGCCCTTGAGCTTCTCCTCGCTGTCGTTCTCGAAGTACATCAGCTTGGACTGGCGGAGGACAAACCAGCGCTTTTTCCAGTTTCTCCGGGACAGCGTGGACGAGCCGCCGCCCTTCTTATGCAGCCAGCCCTGCTTCAGGGCCTCCTGCTTGGAGCGGAACCACAGGAAGGTTTCATCCTTGAGGACGCACCAGCGGCGCTTCCAGGAGTTCATTAAGCCACCTGCAGCCCCAGGATCGGGGACAGAAGGGATGGACATGGTCAGTCCCGCTGGATCATGTGGCAGGAGCAGGCCTCGAGGCTCGGCCGCCCCCACTGTGCCGCGCCGGCCGGCCTGAGGACACCAATGCTGCCCTCCCTGCCTTCCAGCTCACAGCAGCCCCCCCCCCCCCCCCCCCCCCGCTGAGAGGCCTTGGTAAGACGCCCACACAGGGACAGATCACCAGCTCACACTCTGACCTGGACTGGGTACAGGCTGCGGGCGAGGGCCATTTCCCCAAGGGGCCGCGTGGGTCTCCAAAGGCCCCAGACAGGAGAAATTGGCCTAATTTATCTTTTTACAAGATAACAAATATTTTGTGACATCTGGGTGGCTCAGCGGTGGAGTGTCTGCCTTGGGCCCAGGGCGTGATCCTGGAGTCTTGGGATCGAGTCCCGCATTGGGCTCCCAGCAGGAGCCTGCTTCTCCCTCTGCCTGTGTCTGTGCCTCCCTCTCTGTGTCTCGTGAATAAATAAAATCTTAAAACAAACTCAGTATTCACCTATTAAAAAAAAATAAATATTTCTAGGGGGCACCTGGCTGGCCCTGTGGGTAGAGCATGCGACTCTTGATCCCAAGATTCTGAGCCCGACACTGGGTGTACAGATTACTTATAAATAAAATCTTTTTAAAAATTCCTAATGTTTTTCTAGCAGAATCATTTTATCTTGGTATTCTCGATTTCCCAAGGACACTCCAGGATGACATCTTAACCACCATCAATCAAAAATCTCTTAATGAATCCACTGAAGAACATGGAACCTACCTCAGTAGTTAATTATAAAGCGACAAGTTACTTTTTTCGATCAGCCAGTAATAAAAGTAAGGCACACATGAACAGGGATACTGAACGAATAAAGAAAATGCTTTCTTGTACAGATCGGAGATGGCGTGAAGACAGACCTCTGCAGATTAACTTCTTCAGTGACTAGCGACATAAACCTCACACTGAAACAAGTGAAGCAGGGCCCACGCGATGTGCTGGCTGGCGTGCAAAGGCACTTGCTCTCACTGAACCCACTGCTGCCCCTTCTTAAGCCCCTTGCCTGCTCGCCCGGCTGAGAAGTCCGTGACCATGCGGCCACACTCCAGAGCGGTTTCCCAGCAAGCTACAAACCTGCTGGGGGCCACCAGAATAAAACTTTTTCTTTCCGATTTGTGGCTTTAATCTGGGGTTCCCAAAGCAAGCCCAGAGGAACCTGTAGCACAAAGTCATTCTATGATCTTATCGTCTTTAGGCGACAAAGGGTAATGACATCGTAGGAGAACAGATGGGAACTCGATCTCTGGTGGTGGGCACCAGCAACCTGCGGAAGCGCTAACCCACTGCGCCGTACTGCTGAAGCACAGAGGACACTGCTAATTGTACTTTGATCAAAAAAATGTTTTTAAGTGATAAAGGTTATCTGCAGTTGTTCTGAAGACACAGAGTATACCAGCCATCAGCAGAGCCATCAGCACAAGTTTACTGGCTCTGGTGCTCTGAAGCGGCATGTGGGACTCATCCCAGCTGCCCCCCTCCAATCCTGGGTGCTCTCTCCATGCTTCATCCTTCACAGATTTTGATCGGTGCTATTAATTTCCTAACGGCAAACTCCTTAAGCAGACCACGAGGCTGGTGAGAACACATTTATGCTCATAAAGAAAATCTAACCACCAGGTTATATTTTATGATTGGTTTCTCTGCAATGTTTGGTCACAACTTCCTAAGTACTTTATTAAAAATTAAACAATGACGTATCAAAGATTAGAAGGTGATGCATTTATACAACTTGTTTTAGTTAAAAGGAGTTTACCAAAAATTCACTTGCTTACTTTCTTGAACTCTTTGTGCTTTAATCTTAAGATTTTGATGCTCTGAATATACCTTTACTTTTTCCTCAACTTCTTTTGTTTTAATCAATTTTATAGTAATGCCATATATTCTATATATATCCATATATAATCAATGCCATATCCCTATAAAGAGTGATTTATAAGGAATTCTAAAGCTAACTTAAGGGAATTATAATTAAATAGGGACAGGGGAAATATATACTATTAACAAAAAGCTTATATTTATTCTGAGAAATGCATAACACAATCTTAAAATGCTATTAGATACATACTAGATTCTGTTCTGTGACTGAATCTTTTCTTGACTATTCCAGTGAACACTTGATCACTCAGAATTTTCCAATCTTTTTTATTCCACTGCTCCTGTAAAAATTTCCACCCACCAAGGACTTCAGGTAATAGGCCCATCTCCCCTAAATTAAACCTGGTGGGGTTTCCATGAGCACCTTGGGGATCTGGGGTTGAGAACAGTAGGGCTTTGAAAAGCATGTGAGTGATATTAGGAGCTAGAATGGTGTTGAAGACGGAGGGAGGCAGAAGCAGGAAAAAGAAAAGAAAAAAAAAGAAAAGAAAAGAAAAAAGAAAAGAGAAGGAAGGACGGAAGGAGAAAGGAAGAAAGAAAGAAAGAAAGAAAGAAAGAAAGAAAGAAAGAAAGAAAGAAAGAAAGAAAGAAAGAAAAACTAAGTGAAGAAGAACAGGAAAACTACTGAGGAGGACAGTGATATGAAAAAAAGATAAACATGCCACTAGGAGAGAGAACCCACTAGGAGAGAGAAGCAAAGAACAGAAGAAACAGGGAAAGGGAGCACAGAAGTCAACACTGCTTCATGGAGGGAAACAGAAGGAAAGCTAATGAAAAGTGAAGAGTTAGGCAAACTTGTCGACAGAATGGGGGGGGGAGGGGGGCATCATCAGCAGGATGATGGTTCTTGTCATCCCTGCCCATCCCCAGGTTTGGACCGGTTCCCTCATCTAGCCTGGAGCTGGATGGACCCTTCTTTCAGGGACCCGTGTGAAAGCCCAGCCAAAACCTGGTGAGGACTGCGGCTCCTCTGGGCCCCGTCACCACCCAGAGGTCAGGGTTGAGGGGCGCCTGGAGGCTCAGTCGGCTAATGTGTCCAACTCCTGATTTTGGCTCAGGCAGGTCAGGATTTCAGGGTCATGAGGTCGAGTCCCACATGGGGCTCTGCGCTGGGCGGGGACCCTGCTGAAGATTCTTGCTCTCTGCCTCTCCCTCTGCTCCTCTCCACCCCCACCCAAGCAAATTAAAAAAAAAATGAATTAAAAAAAAATAAAATAGAAATCAGAGTGGAGACCATGAAGTAGGACTACAAGGTCCTAATTAAGTTCCTTTCCAAAAGGAACATGCTCTGAAGTCTTCCAGGGTCAGGGGCCACTAGGTCCAGTGGCAGCCACAGCATACAACCCAAATCCTCCTCATGCAGTGCGGGGTAGACGGCAGGTGAGCGGTAAGGTGAGGGGTACCCCTGGCTCAGACCTTTACTTCTCTCGTAAAGGAAACCCTGGGGGTCCTCCAACACTCCCGTGGCAGGAGAAGGTGTGGTTTGCCACAGAAGGGGCCACACCGATGCCAGCAAGAGTGTGTCAGAGAGAAGGAAGGAAAGGGAAGGGAAAGGGAAGGGGAAAGGGAAAGGGAAAGGGGAAAGGGGAAGGGAAAGGGAAAGGAAAGGAAGGAAGAAGGAAAGGAAAGGAAAGGAAGGAAGGAAGGAAAGGAAAGGAAAGGAACAGTGTGGGGAGGGGGTGTTGGGGAGGAGATGTAGCAAGAGAGGGGCAGAGCACAGAAATGAGATGGGGTGGCAAGAGGGAGGGGCCAGGGGCTGAGGACGGGATGGTGGCCGCACTCTGCCCTACAGCAGGCACCAGCGGTGCGCAGTCCAGGCAGCCCTTCGGGAGGTGTGACCGCGACAGCCACGCATCCCCCATGCACCTAAGAGGACCTGACACCAGGTGAGGGCAATGGAGTCTTCCTGGTCCTGCCCACAATCAGCCTCCATGGAAACAAAACTCAGTTTTCCACCGCGCTACCCCCAACCCAGGCGCCCCTGACAGGTCATACCTTTCATGTACAGGAAGCTGTGGAAGTAAGGCAGCGTGACGCAGCTGTACACGGAGTCGCGCCGGTAGGAAAGTTCATCGTCTGTATCAAATCTAGAGTCAAAGTCTTCCTCACTGTCTTCAAACTGTACGAGAAGGAGAGAGCCAGTGGTGAGCCAAACAGAAAAAGCCACAAGAAGGCCCAGCATCTGTCATCACCGAAAAAAATAAAAACCCAAGAGAAGCAACCTGTGGACTCGTACCATTACCACACAGGGCGGTCATCAAATCAACCAACCAATCAATCAATCCATCACAAAATAGGGACCTTTAAGGTCAAATGATCTGTGGAATTGACACATTGTGAGACATACCTTGATCCAAAGGCTTTTCTAGAAACCCTGTTCAAGGGTATAATTTTCATCAAACCATACAAGAGCAAACTCCCTTTAAATTACTATGATAAGAATACCTTCAAGTCTTAGAAAATCAAGGGGATACTTAATGCACGCCCCCAGACGTAAGCCCATAAGCTGGAAAGGGCATGGGTAAGCCACGGAAGAGTCCAGAACCAGGCAGCACATCCCGGGAGGGGACGTGGAGCCAGGGAGGCTGGTTGTGCAGTGAGCCCGGGGCCATTCCAGCTGATTCAGGGCAGGCCTGCCTTCCCTACCTGCTGGGATAGCGCACACACCCCAGTGTCCGCGGGAAATGCCAGCTTGCTTGGGGTTGGGGGGAGGCGAATACCTCAGCTCCGTGTCCGACCTACCACCTGCCTCAAAGTTCATTTACCAGTGACGGCTGGTGGCCGGAGAAAGCAGCGGACAACCATCCTCAAGAGCTCGACTTGGAAAGATGGGCTGGCCCACCCCCGGGGGGGCACGGGTGAGGGTCACACAGACAACGACGGCACCAACCCCACGCCCCTGGGAGAGGGCACAGAGGACTGCGCCCCCTCGGAGCTGGAGCAGTAGGCCCCCAAGCTGTCGTCCACCCCCACCGTGTACCCCTGGGGGGGGCTCACCAAGGACTGCGCCCCCCTCGGAGCTCACCGAGGACTGAGCCCTTTTGGAGCTGGAGCAGTAAGCCCCTGAGCCGTCATCCACCACCACCCTGCACCCCCAGCCCCCGGGGGGCTCACCAAGGACTGCACCCCATTGGAGCTGGAGCGATTGGCCCCTGAGCCATCGTCCACCGCCACCCTGCACCCCTGGCGGGGGGGCGGGGCTCACTGAGGACTACGCCCCCTCCGAGCGGTGGGCCCCCTCCCTGTCGTCCACCCCCACCTCCCCAGGCTCACCGAGGACTGCGCCCCCTCCGAGCTGAAGCGGTAGGCCCCCGAGCTGTTATAGGTGCCCACGGAGCAGCGGTAGTCTGGGGACCACTGGCTGCCGTATGAGGTGGAGAAAGTCACGCTGCTGCCGGAGGTGGCGGCGCCGTCCTCATAGTCGTCCCGGTCGTAGTCGTAGTGGCTGTCCGCAGACGGCAGGGCCCCCCCGCCCTGAGGCATGCAGTAGGCGGGCTCCCCAGCCACCGAGCTGGGCTCCGACGGGCCGAGCAGGAGGGAGCCGTCCGCGCTGGGGCTCACAGGCACCACCGTGTCATTCATGTACGGGTCCTCCTCTGACGATTCGTCGCTCGTGCGGATGCCGCTGGTCCTCTGGTCCGAGTGGCCGTGCTCGCTGGGGTTGGGCGAGTCCTTGAAGGCGTCGTCGTCGGCCTCGAAGCCCTCGTCCACCTCCTCCTCGGGGTACGGCTGGCTGAAGTTGAAGCTGGGCCTCTGGGCGACCGCGCCCTCTGCACCCTCCGCACCCTCTGCGCCTGGGGCCTCTGCGCCCAGGGCCTCGCCGCCCGCCGACAGGGAGCGCTCGATGTGGCGGACGCACTCGTCGATCTCGTCGAAGTTGAGTGACTCCAGGAACTCCTGCGCCGCACGGCACGCCTCGTCCTCCAGCCGCCGGAGCTCCTCGTCGCGCAGCTGCTGCAGCTTCTGCAGGGAGGCCTCGGTCAAGGACAGCTCCTGCCGCTCCTTCATGCGCTGCAGGTCCTCGATCTCCTTTTCCAGGCGGAGGATCTCCTCCACCTGCTTGTTCTCCTTCTGCTTCTCTAAGTCGCAGTGCAGCTCGGCTGCCCTCTGGCTCTTCTGCAGGGCTTCCAGCTCCTGCTGCCTCCTGGCGGCTTCCTCCTGGGCGGAGGACGGAAGAGGTCAGAGAGGGTCCCTGCAACCAGGGCGAGCACAGCCACAGAGAGCCCCAGGACACCTGGATGTGCCTTCTGGGGGTTGATGCCCTCTGCTCCAAATTGGTACGCAGAAGCCCTAATCCCCCGCACCATGGAATGGGTATTTGGAGATAAGGCTTTTGTTATTTCTTAAAGATTTCATTTACTTATTCATGAGAGACACAGAGGGAGGCGGAGACACAGAGGAAGAAGCAGGCTCCATGCAGGGAGCCTGATGTGGGACTCGATCCTGGGATCCCAGGGTTACACCCTCATCTCAACCGCTGAGCCACCCAGGTGCCCCTGGATATGGAGCTTTAAAGATGTGATTAAGTTAGAATAAGGCCCAAAAAAAAGAAGTTAGAATAAGGCCAGGAGGTGGGCCATAACCCCATCTGACTGGTGTCCCTGAAGGTCCAGGAGATTGGAACACACACATGCACACACCAGGGATGCACACACACACATGCAAGACCACAGGAGGACACAGCGAGGTGGCGGCCATGTGCAACCTAAGGAGAGGCGCCTTGAGAGAAATGAAACCCGGGACACCTTCACCTTGGGGGTCTGGCCTCCAGAGCTGCAGCACTATTTCTGTTGCTTAATCCACGCAGGCTGTGGTACTTTGCTACGGCACCGCTAGCAAACTAAGACAGCGGCGACCCTGCGTTAGAGAAATTACGCTGTGTCCACATTTAAAACCTTAGACATCAACAGAGTTGTACTCGGTTGCAATGGGTTGCATCATAAACATCTCCTTTCAGATTCTTCTGTCATCTTTATACTTCATTTTAGTTTAGAATCCTTGAACTTTCAAAGTGTTTGAGGTGGGAAGGAAAGGGGCTAGCAAGCTGACGCGTGGGCACGGTATTCTTTACCTGTTGGGTGCGGAGCTCAGCCTCTCTTCGTGCCCTCTCTCTTTCTCTAAAAACCAGTAAATAAAAAAAAAGACGGTGATAATAAGCAAAAGCAATGGAAAAAAGTCCCAGAAGCACTTTTCAGAGAGAGCTCCCTTTTTAAAGACAGCTTTGCTAGAGACAACTTAAAAAGGATGTGGATGAACCCTCTTCCTTTGGTAAATGACTCATTCTGTACATGAATAAACATGCACATAACTCGGTCTTCGATGCTGCCAAGGAAATCTATATCCAGGCCTCCAAGAGGTAGTTTTAAACAGCAGCATCCCCTGGGAATTCTTGCTGCAGGAATGCATATTGACCCTAAAACTCAGAAAGTGTCCTCCTGCTTCATCGGAGCAAGAAAGCTACTATACCTCTCCTCTTCCTCCCATTTCCTCTTTTCTTCCTCCGCCCGCTTCTCTTCCAGCAGCTGCCTATAAATCCTCCGGGCGATCTGGCCTCTGAGTCGCTTCTGGAAAACTATGGCGGCTTTCCTCAGGTGCAAGAATCTCCTCCTCAGAAGGAACGCTCTGTAATTCTTCTGTATGATCACCACACAATAAAGGACCTTTCGGTATTGCTTTCTGAAAATAAAGACAAAAGCCGCACAACAGAAGAGCTGTTGAGGTAATGAGGCTCTGAGCTCTTCAAATGGGTTTGCGTTAATGCTACGAGACAAAAGAAGAGGGCCGAGTCTGGAAAGTCTCATTATGGAACCAGAGCGACCAGGAGGCCCCTTTGGACCAAACAAAATGGAAGAAAAACAAAAGAATAACAAACAAAACGAGAGCAAGGACCTTATCATTATCTTGGCTAAATAAACCCATGACCCCTAAGGCTGACTTGGAAGCGTCCTGGCAGTGACAGCCCAGCCCCATAGCGCTGGGCCCTAAACAGCCCCGAAGAGACTTGATGCGGTCCCTGTTCTCACGGCAGGGCGGGGGCCCTAGCGCGATGGTCCTGAACCCGAGAGCATGGAGCGATGTGGGGTTCCACGGGGCCTGCAGGTCCGCATGGGGGACAGGACTCCGGGGCGTGAGGCGAGCAGCTGCCCCCCTGGGCAAACACGGGAGCAGTGCCCGTGGACCCGATGGGCTAATAGCGGAGTCCACAGCAAGGCGGCCTGCCTCCAGTACGAGGCACAGAGGGACGGGGTAAACAATTTAAATGTCTCAGCACCGTCCCCTCCTGTCACTGCTCTAATGGAGACACCGGAAGGCCCCTGGCCAGCTTTCCGCGCGGGGCAACCCAACTGGGCATCGCTAGTTGGAAGCACAACCCAGAGACTCCCCATGGCCTGGCGCTGACCTCCATCCAGGGGTCTCGTAAGTAAAAGCACGCAAGGGCCACCCCGCCCAGTGATGCGCGCCGGGGGAGGCCTCCCCTTGGCGCGCCACGCCGTCCCTCTCTGGGCTTCTTACCGTGCCAAGTAGCCCAAGATGTGGGCCCGGATCACCATGGCCGCCCTCGTAACTTCCTCCTCCCGTTGCTTCTCCAGCTTCTGCTCCAGGGATTCTCGGAGGAAGACCTGCCAAGGCAAAGTGACGCATCAGAAGTAAAGAACAGGGCTGGTGAACGCAGGTTCTTGCCGAATCAGCTCTTTTGGAGGGAAGGCTTTCTTCGCTCTCGGGAAATGTGCTCCAAACACACAGCCTGTGCTCTGAATGGTGCTTCTCCAACTTCCTGTGGGGAAGCGCTGCTTTGTTTTTTAAACTTTCTACTTGTGATGCACTAAGACCTAAGAAAAATACAGTCAAAATATATGACCAGGAAGAAGCAGCAAATAAAGTCCCCCCTGCCGTGTTGTTGGTTAGAGGACTGTGAGGTTGACATCAAAGCTCACACTCCCTTCAGCGGGACTACGAGCTTGTGAACAGCACCAGTCCTGCATGAAGTGTGAATCACAAGAAACGCAGAGATGCTCTATGCTAAAAAAGAAAAGAAAGAAAGGGAGGGAGGGGAAGAAAAATCCAACAACTTTGCACAACTTACTTTGGTAGTACATGAAAACTCTCTCTGCAGGACTGTCAAGTGACAACCAGTCACAGTGTCTGGGCCTCAAAAAATTTTAATGCACATTTAAAAAATTGACATGAAGAATGTAATTCTGAAGGGTGACTAAGGGGCTCAGGGTGTGACCCTGGGGGTCCTGGGATCGAGTCCTGCATCAAGCTCCCCTCAGGGAGCCTGCTTCTCCCTGTGCCTGTGTCTCCGCCTCTCATGAATAAATAAATAAAACCTTAAAGAAAAAAAAAAGTAATTCTGAAGTTAGAACTGAACCACTTCCGTTCCATCTCAGTCTGATCCTCACAGGAATACCAGAACTGGAACAAAACCGATCCCAGCAATTTGCTGGCCTGTTTCTGGGAACAGGCACCTCAATCCTGTGCGTGTTAAGTTTGGGAAGTGTATCTGGTAATTGGCATTCTGTATCAGCGTTCCCAATACTTGAAAAGACGTGAAGACATTAAGACCCTCCCTCAACCACGGTAGCTTTGAATTTCATAATTTCGGATTTACTGCATGCATAAGAAATTCTGAACTATTCCCTAGAAGAACTAGTGCCAAACATTTGTATGCTTTTCTGTTAACGTTCAGGGCAGCCTGGAAGCATCCTGCTGGTGGTGGGCGGGAGGCTAAACGACACTCTTTCTCACTCATGATGTTTTGATTTATGTGCCTCTGACTCATTCTGGCCCATAATGATGCAGGATGTTTTCTTAATAGCACATTTTCCCAGACACTCCGCTCCGTCTCTTCCAAGACATTTGGGCAGAAAAAGCACATAAAGAATCCTACCACCATGTGACTCACAGAAGCTTTACCTGCTCCCGCTCTGGGTTCCCGAGCACTGGTAAAACTCGACCACAGATCATCCTCTCAGGAAAGTTTTCCATACAACTGTCTTCCTATAACTGCAATTATATACCCTCCTGATGCCTGAAAAAACTGCCTCTTGGTGGGGGGTGGGGGGGTGGAGGGGAGAAAAACAAAGGACAGAAGCTACAAGTACAAAACTTCGTTACTTGATGATAATCACAAGTTTTCAGTAATAAGGATTTCTGTTCAAGGCAGTTTTCATCAAGGCTGGGCTTTCAAGAAGTCTTTAAACTTCTCTGCGACTTTCTTCAGCCTTAAAGATCCCACTCTGATGCCGGTGCCGTGGGGAGTATTTATGGGTGCGAAGGTCAAATCTTGGGGGAAGCACGGTGGTGGCGGGGCTCTAATGAAACAGATCGCAGTTCAGTGACCATCCACCTAGTGCATGAGCAAACAGAAAGCTTTATGAAGGGAGGAGGGCCTCCCCCGATGGAAGTCTACGGGAAGTCCTGGCTGGCACCTGGCTGGCACCAGAAGCCCAGGAGCACCTGTGTGAGCGCCGGGTTCAGGCCGGGCGAAGGTGCCCTGCGCCGCCCTTCCTCTAGGGGCTCTCCCGCCAGCCCAAAGGCCAGGAAACAGCAAAAACACTCTCAAGGAGCGACTCGGCCTAACGACACCCAACCGTGACTTTACGCAACGCCACCAAGCAGGCCCCGCCATCCCGCCAGCCCGCGGCGGTGAGCACATGCCCATGGTGCCGGGACGCGGCCACGGCGCAGTCAGCGTGGCCCAGCCACTGGGAAGGGCACCGCCCAGGCTCAGGAGAGGGCCGTGTCCACTCGAGGGGCCGCCCCCCGAACCCCGCTCGGCATACGAGGCGAGCACCTCACTTGCCTTTGCCTCATCAAGGCCTAAGGGCGGCTCTAGTTCAACGTCTTTACTGCCCCAGGACGGCGGGTACAAGCCTGGCTGCAAGGTCCAGGTGCTCCGAGAAACCAAAGCGCTGGCATCAAAAGCCCACGCAAGAGTCGAAGCAGGTCACCGGCCACCTGACCTCTCGGGGTGGACACGCGTGGGAACCTTCTGGACGGGCTGCTCATCGGAGGTCCCGGCAGGACTCCTGCTTTCCCTAGGAACGTTCCCCAGCGCCCACAAACTCCTGCCTTCCAAGTACGAAACGTGTTTGTATGTGAGCCAACTCCCTCGGGCCTGGCACCGTGCTTCCCTTGCTGACCACGCCGCCGCCCACGTTGGCCTTCGTCATGCGTGACGGGAATTTCTTCACCAGGAGATCCTGATCTCTGTTAGATTTCAGGGCTTCGAATACAAAGAACCTGCTGGCAGCAGCACTGACCGAAACACACACCAGGACGTAATAAAGTCCAATGCCAGTCGGGGTCAAAGCTACTTCGCAGACATGGTTCATTTCCTTCCCCGCATTTCTGTGGACCGCCAAGCGTCCTTCCTCCTCCTACCTCCAACTCGTCACCAGCTGAAGTTTAACTCCTGTCTAACGATCTCATCTCGATCCACGGTGAGGCCTCTCCTGGGGAGGCGGGGTCCTTACTCCCAAAGGACACAGCGCCCGATGACTGATGGGCAGCTGTGGCGTCTTCTCTCCAAGAGCCCGGTGGCCTGAAGGGCAGCGTCATCCTGTGTCTGTGGCCCCTGTGCTATGCCCGGGCCCAAGCCCCACCTGGGGCTCGTCTCCACAATGTAACTGTAAGTGAAGGTGGACAGGTGCTCGAGGGCCTCGAGGGAGCATGAGTGTCATCTGAGATCATGACCTGTGCTGTCACTCCACGGACGAGGTGGCGGGTGCCAGGAGCGTATCCGTTGGCACAGAATACGTTATCTTTTTGATTAAAAAATCAGAGTAGGGGACACCTGGGGGGCTCAGCAGGTGAGCACGTGCCTTCAGCTCAGGGCGTGATCCCAGGGTCCTGGGATCGAGTCCCACATCGGGCTCCTTGCCTGGAGCCTGCTTCTCCCTCTGCCTGTCTCTGCCTCTCTCTGCGTGTCTCTCACGAATAAATAAATAAATCTTTAAAAAACAAAGTCAGAGCAGGTGATGCTGTATTGTCAAGAGCTCCCGTGTTTAGGCAGCTTCCCTCTGGGGACTGAATGGGTGACATCTCAGTCCTGTCCTGTAGGGTTTCTAGAGCTTACCAGACACGGAGTGAGCTCCTAACTCTGTGCACCACGTACAAGAACGAACAATTAAGTCTACACTTGCCCCCGCATGACAGAGAAGTCTACAGGCGATGGCAGGGTCAGTGTCACAGGCGGACGGATGGAGACAGAGGGGGCCTGGCTCACTCTGGGGGGGATTTGTTGTGTGGGGTACAATGGGGAACATCAGGAAGGATTCCTGTCCTAGTCTCTCTGAGCTGAGACTGGAAGGGTGAGTCAGGTAAACGGGGACGGGGTGGGGGAGAGCGTCCTGAGGTGGCCCCACAAGCAGTCATGCCCAAGTGTGGGTGCGATCTGGCTCACTTCTAGCCAACAGTGTGGAACCGTGAGGGGCTGTGACCTCTGAGACTGCACTGATCATAAAGCCCCCCACGTGGGGAGACCACAGCTGGACTCTCCTGCAGCCTCCAGGTCGCGGGCACGTCACGCGGGGGGCAGGTGCTGAGCGTGGCCCTGGGGGGCAGCCGCCAACAGAACTGGGACCTGAGGCCCCACTGTGAAGACCCAGGTTCTGGCACCGCGGAAGCCTGAAGAGGCCCCCGAGCTCCAGTGGGAAGGCGGCCCGAGACCCCGGCAGAGGAAGGGTCGGCCACGCCACATCTGGGCCCCCGCCTGGGACTCGGTGGGGCACCTCAACGTGTGTCACTGCCGCAGCTACGCTACAGGTAGCTCGTTCCACGGCACAGGTAAGCGACCTGTCACCTCTGCGGGCCACCTGCATCCTGCAGAGGGCTGAACCCTACATCCCTGGTGAGACCGCTCAGGGGCATGGGCGCGGGCATGGGCGCAGGCTCAGTCTGGGAGCACCTGACTCTTGATTTTGGCTCAGGTCGTGACCTCAAGATGCAGCCCCGAGCTCAGTGGGGGAATGGTTGAGATTCTCTCTCCCCACTGCCCCTGCCCCTGCCCCTCCACCACCTCCACCCTCCCCTGCCCCTCCACTGCCTCTCCCCCTCTTTTTCTAAAATAAATCAATTTTTAAAAATAATTAAGAGAATATGTCCATTATCCAATTTCCCTCGCTGAGTGTCCCCACATGATGCCTCAATACTCGTCCCTGAGGTTCTGGACTGAATGTCTGTGCACCCTCTCCATCCCCTGGGGTGACAGTTGGATGAAGCACCTCCAGGGAGTCCGGAGGTTTGGAAGAGGTCAGGTGGGTGGGGGCCCACAATGAGATCAGTGCCCTCTAAGAGGAGGAAGGGAACCCAGAACTCTCTCAACCCTTGAGCTTAGAAGAGGACCCACCCGGCACCTCCAACCCCCAGACTGTGACAAACATAGGTCTGTCCTTGAAGTCACCCAGTTGGTGGTATTTTGTTGCAGTGGCCCAAATGGACTGAGACACTCAACCACTCTCCTTTCTCCCCCACACCTTTCTTTTATCTGAAAGATAGAGAGCTCAAGTGGGGAGGGGCAGAGGGAAAGGGAGAGAATCTTATCAGGCTGCACGCTCGGGGCTGAGCCCAATGCAGGGCTCCATCATGACCCTGAGAGCCTGACCAGAGTGGAAATCAAGAGATGCTCAACCAACTGAGCCACTCAGGTGCCCCCTTTCTCTTTCTCTCTCTCTCTCTCTCTCTTTTTTAAAGAAACTCTTTGGTTAAAAGAATGTAACATGAGTACAAACTTCAAAATACTCTTCTGAAGCTGCACTGCTACCTATAGGGTCAGGGGGTTCAGCTGTGAGGCCCACGTCTGACTTTCGAGGACGTCCACACACTCAAAGGTCAGCCCGCACCACCCGCAGCTGCCTGCTTTCTGTGCCAAGTCACATTTCGGTCGTTCCTGTGCGACGAGGCCTGGGAGTGGAGGGAAGAGACAGAGTGAGAGGCAGTGGAGGATTTGGGCCGCTCCCTGATACAAGGAGAAAAGGTCGCACAACCAATTTTTTTTTTTAGCTAATTTTGGCGGTTGAGGCCAAACTGTCTGGAATCAAGGGTAAAGGCCTCATCTCAGCCACACCAGCACGTTCTGAAAGTGACCTTCACTTGGTTTTCTCGACTGGATTTTTGTCAACCTACGAGATTCCAGGCTGTTGGCTGGTCTCTTGCACAACAGCTCCTGTGGTGCAGGGACGGCATTCGGCATTTTTTTTTTTAAAGATTTATTTATTTTATTCAGAGAGAGAGAGAGAGAGAGAGACTGAGAGGCGCAGAGACACAGGCAGAGGGAGAAGCAGGCTCCATGCAGGGAGCCCGACGTGGGACTCGATCATGGGTCTCCAGGATCACACCCCAGGCTGCAGGCAGCGCCAAACCGCTGAGCCACCAGGGCTGCCCGGCATTCGGCATTTGAATTACAAATAGTTGGAAGGGTCTGGGCTCTCACTTCTCTGAAGCCAGAGGCCGCCCCGCACTTCATGGCACCGAACTGCCCACCAGCCAAGAGGGGTGGACAGCCTGCAAGGAACCACACACATACACACCCAAGGTCTGGTGTTTCCAGAAACAGAGTTCCTGACAAGTCAAGGACTTCAAATAAAACATCAACTGTCTGGAGGACAAAAGACTAAGGTGGGCACGACACCATATCTTCCAAGGTAAAAAAAACAATCCATCAGCCCTAGCACAGGACACTGGCCCTAACACCTCCAGGAGCTGAACGGGACGACCGCTCCTCCCCTGCGGTTTTACCTTGGTCTTCCCCAGCTGCCACTCGCTGTTGGAGGAGTCGTAGAGCTGCAGCAGGGCTGTGCACTTGCCCCTGATGTCGTCAGGCACTGCCGCGTTCCTCATCAGCACCTTATACCTGCAGCATAAAGACGCCCGCGTCACCTGCCAACAATTCCTCTTCTCCCAGACCCTCGGAGAAGAAAGACCATCTATTCAGCCCCGCCTTGCCTTTTGTAAAAATCCTGAAAGGGTCTTCGGACTGCATACCCAGCCTTTCGGATCCGCACCGTCTCCAGCATCCCGGAGTAGCGCAGCTGGTTTAGAACAACCGCCTGGTCAAACTGGTCTGGCATCTAAAACATGCGAAACCGTGAGAAGATAGTTAACAAGGCCTCCCTCTCATTCTCGTTCTCTCTCTCTCTCTCTCTCTCTCTCTCACGCACACCCGACACAAAAATACAGAAGAAAAAGTGAATCCCACCCCCAGGGACCCATCACTTGGCTTCACAGCACCACCAACACCATCACCCCATGAATCCTGCGCCATCCACAAGCTCTTACTCCCTGCCCTTAAATTTTTGAAGTCCCAGAGTTCACATCACCTCATTCATAAATATGATCAACACCATTTCTCGATATAACCATGGCACCATCAGCATATCTTCAAAGATACCAATGATTCCCTAGTACTTATATCCATGTTCAAACAAATTTCCAACAGTTTGAACGATCATCAACCTACCACCATTTTTAATACTGTTTTTCAAAGAACCTAAAAAGTGTCATCCAGGTGTCACTTTCTTTACTTTTTAAATTTCCATTTCAAGGAATTTGAAGGCATTTTTAAATTTTAGCCAAAGAATACAGCAACCCAGCGAGGGATACAGGGAGGGGTAGGCGAGGTTGGCATGGAGAGCGGGGAGGAAGAGAACACACCAGCGGAGAAAAAAGACAAAAATAAAGAATTTTAGTTCTCTCAATACCCAGTCAAATCCTTCATTTACTGAGAGCTTTCCACCGTGATCACAAAGTACACCCAGAAAATCCAAACCAAAGACAGGCAAAATCAAACCAAAACTCACGTCCTGAAATGTATTCTCTCCTGCACGCCATGGCCAAACAAACTGGCATTGCTGACAGGACAATAGTCTTTCAGGGTAAAACTCAAAAGTAGGCCGTTTCCCACTTACAGCTTTTGGGGCAATGACTTGTTTCTCACCAAACAGCCATTCCCTTGAACTACTTTGTATTTTATCCTGCACAACTGTGAATAAGGGGACTGAAAAGGGGTACGAGAGGATGGAAGGACGCTGTTAGGAAGTGCAAGGAAACCAGACCAGACCAAAACAAAGCAAGATGGTGTCTTACATTTGCAGTCCTTATAAACACAGTCATTATCACAAATTTGGGCTTAAAGCCGTTATCCCACAAGTTTCCCAAACTCGGAGAGAAGAAACCTGAAGAATGCTCTGCACGTCTCCCCTACAGCTTCCGCTGGAGCATCAGCCTGCCACCCTCTCCTGCAGGCTGACTGCTCTTATATTTAATCTAATTTCTTCCGCAAACAGCCTGGTCAACTTGTCTTTACTCAGCAGCAGGCTACCTGAGTATGGCTGGTAAGTTAGCGCAAACGTCCAAAACGTTGCGGCTCCCTGATTTTTATCCTTAATTGTTTAAATATCCCTAGAAAAATAAGAAAAAAAAAACCATAAAAATAGGGGAAAATTACCCTTGGTTATGTTTCCACCTTATAAAAAGTGAAGTGAGGCAGCAGCTGCAGAGGCACTTGGTTAGCGTGCTTCCGATCCATCATCTGGACTATAAGCCGAGCAGAGGCAACCCCAAGAACTAACGCAAAAGGGAGCTAACGTAGAACAAACACGGAGTAACGCATCAGACTCACTCGACCCTGTTCAGTTCGTCATCAGAGAGCTGGTGACTGAGTATCCCACCACCGGATGCCCAAAAAGCCCTTCCTCAAGCTCTCCTGGGCCGGCCCCCTCCCCAAGCCACGCCGCTCTGCTGGGCGTCTTTTCTCCCAATCCTCCCTTAACAAAGTCTGCGCGATGTTCCCCGGATTTGGCACCGGCTCCCAGGACGTCCTAAAAAATGTTACAAAAGGGACACTCCATCCAAAAAACGTTCAGCTCCACTCACCATCTCCGGCCCCTCCGTGGAACATTCCACCTTCGGCTTGGCTCTTGGGCCAAAATTCATATGGAAAACGCCTGCCACGCTGACCTTTCCGCCACAGCTAAAGACACTGAACAATAATGAACACCATTCCTGTGCTTTAAAAAGTGGCCGGTCGCCATGACAACCCCTTCCCTTCTCGGGCTAATTAGTGTGGTGTGGTTGTAGGATTTCCTACAGCCGGGAGGGGGGCACCAGGCGCAGAGGCTCCTTCCAGGCTCCCAGCCCCATTGTGTTTCTGGCCCTTCCCAGTAATTGAAGCAGGAAGGGGGACCCACTGGCAGATTGTCGCCACGGGCAACCCATGCAGCAGTCACGGGGCGGGGGGCTGTATGTCCATCAGTGGGTCTCTGTTTTGCTTCAGCTCCCCCCTCTGGTGCCTGTGACGTTAAGTGATGCCCGGGCTCGGGGCGGACACGCCGCAGCCTACAGGCACTGCCCCCAACACTTGCCCGGCGCACGGGTCTCCACCGGAACCGTTTCCAGGGCTGCACGGAGCTCACTCGCACGGAGCCCACCTGCACCGTCGGGACAGCCAAGCCCGATGGCGACAAACTCGGGGACTTTGGAAGTCACAGCTAGGCACGGGGAGTCTGGGCCTTACACGCCTGTTTACTGCATGCAAGGTGTCACGGTTCTTGCTCCAGGAGGATTAAAAAAAAAAGTGGGGCTAGGTTTTTTTTCTGTTTACTCAACACCCCCCACCAGAGCACCACATGTGTTACACCCGGCGAAGCCACACGCACGCGTCCGAAACACCTAGATGCCAGCTTGGAGGGCTCGGGCTTGTGCACCTGAAGGGTTTTGATGTAGAACGACATACACCCACCGTGCGAGGGTCCCACGGAGTAGTTCCGCGGTCCTGAAGACCCCTGCGTTCCACCCACCCATTTCCTCCTCCCCCAATCCATGCCAAGCACTAATCTTTCCATGGTCTCCATATTGCTACTGCTTTTTTTTTTTCTCTTTTAAACATTTAATTTTTTAGAAAGCAGTGTAAGGCTCACAGCAAGGCAGAGAGCATGGTAGAGAAATCTCCACTTAGGGCCCCTGCCCCCAGGTGTGTAGCCTCATCACAGGGGCCACATCCTGTTCCCAGGACCCTCACACTTAGAAGCATGGCAGGTGTCCCAATCCCCACTCCTTATCCTGCAGAAAGCCTAAAACCGTATCCAAGATTAAAATGAAATTGCTTAAGAATGCAGGAGTAAGAAGAGTATGAGGGGGTACGGGTGACACATGTTTGAACCCAGGTCTGACCGAAAGTTTGGGCTCTTCCAACCTGTATCCACTGCCTCCAGGGAAGGGGTGTCAGCGAACACGGCCCAGGAGTCACTCCGGGACAGAGGGGGCCCAGTGGACCCAGGCTGCTGTGCTTTCTGCGTCTAACTCTGATGCCAACTATTTTCAAGAGAAGCAGCCAGTGGGGCTTTAGAGTGAGAGCTGAAGGCGCTCAGACCTGCCGTGTGCCAGGATCCCTTTGCTGGCAGCGCCAAACTGGAAACAAAACCCGGGGATGTTTTGATACCATGCACATCACAAAATATTATGCAGCCGTTAAAAAGACAAGACCAAATGAAAGATGCACCAGTTGGCTCTCGGGCCTTTGGCAAGGAGAGAAAGGATACAGGAAAGTATGTATAACAATCTCATTTTTGTAAGACAATGACCTCACCAAAAAAAAAACTCCCCCCTAAAAAACAAAAAAAACCCTGCCTGATATATGGTATGGGCATGAACATTCCTCACTTTATCACGCTTCACGGTAATTGTGTTTTTCACAATTTGAAAATCCGTATCAAGTCTGTCGGCACTGTTTTTCCAACAGCTTTGTCTCTGTGTCACGTTTTGGCAATTCTTGCAGTATTTCAGATTTTTTCATGGTGATCAGTGACAATGACTCACCGTAAGCTCAGATGATGCTGAGCATTTTTTAGCAACAGGCATTTTCAAACTAAGATACGTACACTTTTTTTAAGATATAATGCTACTGCACAGCAACAGACTACAAAACAGCATAAACATAACCTTTACATGCACCGGGAAACCAAAAAATTCATGTGACTTGCTCTTTGTGATATTCACTGTATTGCAGTGGTCTGCAACCAGACCCACAGTATCTCCGAGGTAGTGCTGTCTTAGTCTCCGCATGTGCAGAAGGCCGCAGGGAGACTCATGCTTGGTATCTACTGAGCAGGGGCTGTTACGGACGCCGGGAAGAAAGGCTGCTAGGGGAAAAGGGAATGAAAATAGAGGTTGCACTGGATGGAGATAATCACATATATCCAACCTGTCTGTCTACATGGCTATATGTCTCTGAAGATGTGTAATAAATGACATTTTTTACAAGGTGAAAACCTGGATATTGAGTGGATTCTAGAGGTCCTCCAAGGAAGAGAGCGAAGAAGGGTAAGAAAAGCAGGGAGACCAAATATGAAGCTCCTGGAAGGATACTTCCAAGTACCAACAATCTAAATGTCCATCAACAAATGAATGGATGGCGGTGCCTGGCTGGCTCAGTTGGTAGAGCACGCAACTCTTGATCTCGGGGTCATGAATTCGAGCCCCACACTAGGCGTAGATTACTTATTAAAGCAAAACAAAACCCCCAAATGAATGGATGAACAAAATAGAGATTATCCAGTCACTCCTTGGGAGTATTAATCGGTCATAAAAAGGAAATGAGGCGCTTATGCTATGTGAACCCTTAGATACTACATGAAGGAAGCCCGTCATCCCCAACACACACACACGTGCGTATTATATGATCCTACTCATACGAAACGTCCAGAAAGGGAACTGTGCAGACACGGAGTTGTGGCTGCCTGGGGCTGGGGGAAGCAGGGGTGTGTGTGTGTGTGTAGCGGGGATGGATAGCCAATGGCAGGGGGATCCTTGGCGAGGTGATGAAGTCCTAAAACTGACGGTGGTGGTGGTTGCACCTGTGAACACACAAAACCCCACCAAACTGTACACTTCCAGTGAGCTGACTGTATGGCATACGAATTCTATCTCCATAAAGCTGGTTTTTTAAAGTATTTTAAAACCCATATGGACATGGAGGCATTTAAAATGCACACAGAGGGTCGTGTGGGTGCCTCAGGGCATGACCCCGGGCCCCGGGATCGAGTCCCACATCACGCTCCCTGCACAGAGCCTG